TTATATTTGAAATTTAATCTACCTCTAAGCACAGCTTAACTGTATGCCACAAATTTTGAAATGCTGCTTTTTAATTGTTATTCCATTCTAAATATTTTTAATTTTTCTTGTGATTCCCTTTTTGGTTCATGAGTTATTTAGAATGTATTGTTTATTTCCAAATACTTGAAGATTTTTTAGATTAATAACATTAATGACATCTTAATGTTATTAATTTCTAACTTAGTACTCTTGTGGTCAGAAAACATACTTCAAAGATTTCAACCTTTGGAATTTATTGAGACTTGTTTTACAGTCCAATATATGGTCTATCTTGATAAATTTTCTTTATTTTTTTTATCTTGATAAATTTTCTATGTGCAATTGGAAAGAATTTGTATTCTCTTATTTTGGGCTATAGTGTTCTACAAATGACAATTAGATCAAATTAGTTGATAGAGTTTTTCCAATCTTCTGTATCATTACTAATTTTTTGTCTACTTGCTCTCTCACTTACTGAGGTGCTAAAATCTCCCACTAGATTTGTCTACTTCATACTAATTACTTCAAGCATTTTACATATTGTCTTCTGTTTTATTATTCTTAGATATCTACGAATACTTTTTGAAAGGTCTGATATATTTATGTTTAATTCTCTGTTGTTTGTGCTTTCTTTTCTATTTGTCCCATTTCTTCTTTTATCTGTTTCTCCATTCGTATCACCCTTTTGGTAAATCAAATATTTATTCTTTAATATTATATTTTAGCTTCTCTATTGACTTTTTAATTGTGTCTTTGTGGGTTTTTTTTAGTGGTTGCCCTGGAGATTACAATATACACCTTTAATTTTCACAGTATATCTCCCCAAAATATCTATTATTTCATCAATAGTGTAAGCACCTTACAGCGGTGGACTTTCCTCTCTTCCCTCCCTTTGTGCTACTCTTCTTATATGTCTAATTTTATGTATGCTATAAATCCCACACTATATCTTTTAATTTAAGGAATCAGTAATTTCTAAGATAAAATTTGAATATATATGTATGATAATTTTTTATCTGGTAACTTTTCTATCTGGCATATTTTCCCTTCAGTCTCAAGAAAACCTCTTAGCATGTCTTTTTTTTTTTTTTTTTAAGATTTTATTTATTTATTTGAGGGAGAGTGACAGAGATAGGGATAGAGATAGCGACAGAGAGTGAGAAGCAGACTCGCTGCTGAGCAAGGAGCCTGATGTGGGGCTTGATCCCAGGACTCTGGGATCATGACCTGAGTCGAAGGTAGACACTTAACTGACTGAGCCACCCAGGCGCCCCTCTTAACATGTCTTTTATTGCAGATCTGATGAAGAGGAGTATTTTCCCAGCTTTTCTTCATGTACAGATGTGTTTACCTTAATTTTTGAAGATAGTTTTTGCTAGATATAGAATATTAGATGACAGTTTTTTCTTTCAGCACCTAAAATTGCTCTATACTCTTCCAGCCTCCATTTTTTTCTAATGAGGAGTTAGTCAACATTCTTATTGCTGCTCACCTGTATGCCATGTGTTTTATTCTCCAGATGCTTTCAAGACTTTACCTTTGAGTCTTTCAGCAGTTTATGATGTGCCTTCCTGTAGTTTACTTTGTATTTATCCTGCTTAGGGTTTGCTGAATTTCTCAGATATGTAGATTAATAATTTTCATCAATTTAGGATTTTTTGGTCCCATTTTCTCTCTGCCCTTTTTCTACAACTCCAGTTACATGTATTATTGACCATTTTATATTGTCCCACTTATCTCAGATATGTGTTCCCCTTTCTTTTTCTTTCTCTTTGTGTTTCACTTTAGAAAATTTCTGTTGACTTATCCTTAAATTCATTAGTTCATTCCTATGTATGGCACGTCCTCTGGGTTTGTAACTCCATTGATGAATTTTTCATCTTGGTCACCATAACTCCATTTCTAGGACTTCCATTTGACTCTTTGTTATGGTTTGCATATATTTTCTGATATTTCCCATCTTTTCACATGTATTGTTCACTTTTTTCATGAGTTCTTTTAACACTTCCTATTGGGGCCACATAGTTGTGTTAATCATTCACCGGAGTCTCACCTATGTCTCTGATTGGCAATATATACCAGAAGGGCAGTAGCCAAGAGATAGGGGTTTGGCCTACAATAGTACAGCCAGCAGAACTAATTGATTACATAGCATTCTCCTAAAACTCAAATTATAAACCACAAGTCTCTTAGAATTAAGAATATTGCAAAAATTACTGGCAGTCCTACTACATTGCAAAGATGCATGCCAATTTTTCCTGAGCTTTTGTATTTATGTTGCATTTGAGGCATAAGCTTAAATCATTGGATTGGTAGGGATCAAAATATTACCTTTAGATATGTTCAAGAAAAGAGAAGTCTTTCTTCCAAAGGCTTAAAGGAAAGTAGATTCCACAACCCTCCATGGTAAATTTGTTTGACATTTCCCTGACAGGAATATATTTCTTAAAAAAAAAAAATTGTGCAGTGCTGAAGAACGGTTTTGACTATTATTTTCTAAAGAGATAGTTAATAGTAATCAGCATGGTTTTGTGGGGGAAAATCATAACATACCTGAAGATCATTCCTGAAGATTTCAAAGAGGCTGGTTTAGTAAAACAAAACAAACTCAACAGTGATAAAAACAATACACGAGACATTTAAAATCTTTTAATAATTATGAAGCTAAATCTCTGGGGTTTATGTTGTAAAACTATTTAGGAGAAAAGGCTAGAAGAACAAGAAGAAAGCTCCATCATTATCAAGAACCTTTGTTAAATGTCTTAGTGATGTGGTAGGTATTATATTAATTTCTGTGCAAAAAGTTTAGGGGTCATTATTGTGTATATCAGTTAGCTTTTGTTGTGTAGCCAACTACTCTAAAACTAATGATTTAAAAGAGGAAACATTGATTAATTCCTAAAGCTCTGAGGGTTGCCTTCTGGTCTGTGCCAGCCAGGTCAAGGCTCACTCATATTTGGTGCTTGGCAGGTTGGTTGGTCTGGGGGGGGCTCACTTTTATGTGTGACAGTTGGCTCAGTGTCAGCTAACAGGATGGCCACAGCTGCTCATCATCCAGCAAGCTTAGCCTGGGCTCATGCACTTGGTAGAGGAAAGAATTCTAGCCTCAGGAGAGGACAAGCCCCAGTGCCTACGACTATTCACGTTTCCCTGTGCATCATGTCTGCTGATAATCGATTGGCCAAAGCAAGTCATATACCTACATTCAAACCTCTTGCAGAGGTGTAAAAATAGATTCTTAGTGTAAAAAGGTTAAAACTATAACTAGGATTCAGATTAAAACTCAGATTCAGTGTTGGGCATCTCATTTGGTCTCAACAGTGCAGTAATAGAGCATACCTCTTAATGGTGACACACAGAAAGGGATTAGAGAAATGGCCATGATGCAATCTCCCACATCACATACCTTTGTTTATAGTTAACATGAGGCAATAATTGCAACTGTATTTGAGTTGGAAAGAAGATCAAAAGCACAGTTTACTAGAGGAGATTTTACACATCTATATCTTTTTTCTTTTAACTTGCTTTTGCTACTGCAAAGAAAGTGTACAAATCCTGAACATTTACAAGTCAATGCACTGGCACAAAATAAAGACAATGTGTAACTAACACCTATGTTTGGAATTAGAGCAATGCCAGCATCCCCAGAGTGCCATTTATCCTTTCTTTCAACATATCTTACCCTCCTCCCCAAAAGTAACCACTATTCTGACTAGATTCGTTTTGCCTGTTTTCCTACTTCATATAGTTGAGAACATACAGTATATGCTCCTTTGCGTATGACTTCTTTGGTTCAACATATATGCTCTCTTGATTTATCTATGTTGTTGGACATAGCTCTGATTTTATTTTCATTTCCGTACAGTATTCCACTGCATGAATAAACTACTAATTTATTTATCCAGTCTACTGTTGTTGGACGTTTGAGCTGTTTCCAATTTTTTTGCTATTAAGAATAATGCTATTCCGAACATTCTTGTACACATCTTTTGGTGCACATGTGTACACATTTCTGTTGGGAGGAAAAAAAGATTGAAAATGTTCACAGTGTTCTTTAATGTTTGTATATTTAGGTACCCAAGATGCAGTATTTCTTTCTTTTTTTTTTTTTTTCAGTTTTGTTGAGGTATAATTGACATTTGACAAATAAAATTGTAAGATATTTAAAGTATACAAAATGATGATTTGATGTATATATACATTGTGAGTTCCTCCTATTGAGTTAATTAACCTATCTATCATCCCACTTCTCACTTTTTTGTGTGAGAACATTTAAGTTCTACCCTTCTAGCAAATTTCAATTATACAATGCAGTGTTATCAACTATAATCACCATGTTATACATTAGACCTTCAGGCCTTATTCATCTTATAACTGAAAGTTTGTACCCTTTACCAACCTCTCTCCACTTAACATGTAGTGTTCTACTATACTGTTGAACACCTAGGAGTGGAATTGCTGGTGAATAGGAAACATGTATGTTCAAATTTAGCTGATACTGTCAAACAATTTTCTAAAATGATTCTACTCATTTATACTCCCTCTACTTCTATGTATTTTACCTTTAATATACTCTTATGCATAAATTTTATCTTCATTTTGATGCCCCAGGTTTTAAGCTAATATGTTCTTGACTTTGACTTTCTCATGCTCTATGGCAAAATAGTTATACTTGGACTCCAACTGGGTTAATAGTAGTTGATCTGCATTTAAAATTTCACAAAACCCCAAGAATCCCGAAGTGTATAAAATTATTCTCCTTAGCAATAAACCAAAATATTCTGTTTCCCCACTCATTCATCAAATGCTCATTGAACATCTACAAGAGATTTTTAGATTTGAATCTGGGGATACAAAGGAATATAAAATTGAACTTCTGACCTCTGAGAAGTATGTACAGAAGATGACTCTTTTTTATCAGTAACTACCAGTTCCTTCCCAGTGCCTCCCACCCCTCCTATCACTTCTCCAACACTTACCTCTAGCCTAGATGAGCAATTCAGGATCTTTCATTAAGCACAAACACAATTTTTCCTCCTCTCTTTTCCCTCTTTGGCTAAATACCCCTAAGAGCTTCATCTTCTCCCTTTTTAGACAAAAAATAATATTAGGACACAAGCAAAATTGTTCTCAAAACTTGAGGAATGGTGGTAATGTTGACTTTTTACATTTTTTCCTGTATTTCAAGAAGAGTCTGCAGTTATTTGTATATGATGGGATTTTCAGACTGCTTTTATTTTGTGTAAGATTGCAAATGTTTGCAGTATTCTTACTGTTCAGTATTTCATATTGTAAAATGATCAGGAGGATACACTAGTTGTTAAGGTAAAGTATCTTTGTGGCTTAAAGGAGGTATTATAGCTCTCAAAATAGCTGCAGTTAGTCCTTTTCATTGGTAACATGAAACCAATTTTTGTTTGTGAATTGAATTGTTGCATCTGTGCAAGACATTTCAAAGCCCAAGAAGAGTGCTGTAGGAAAAGTGAGGTTCTGTTATTTATAAAAATAGATCACTAGTATTAAATTAACCTCACTTAAAATTAACCTCATTTAAAATCACTGGTAAAATTAACCTCATTTAAATTACTCATTTAGATGTTTCTTTAAAATATTAAGACCCATCCAAAGGTACTTTGTTGTATTTTTTTCCCATAGGTCATCTTTATTGGGTATACATCTATTTCCTTCTACCCTTCTTCAAGTAAAAGTATGTAAGCAAAAATATGGTGAGGTGGGAATAACTGTCCAAATGATTCCATCCTGTCCATCAACAGGAATCACCATGAATTAATAGATGTTTTTATTACAAGTGGTATAAATCCAAATCAAAGTATCTTAAATAAAAAAGGGATTCGTTAACTCATATCTGGGAAGTGTAGCTTCTGCCACAGTTCAATTTATTTAGGGACTCAAACAGAATTGTTTCCTCATCCATCTGGGGGCTGCTTGCTCTTGAGCAGCGCTGATTTGCAGGTTGGACTTTTCCACAGGACTCTGGATGCTCCAGCTTCAATAAACACCCTTTTTGCTCTGCGTGCCCTTAGACATGGTCCTGTGGTTTCATGCTCCGAACTGAAGAACAACTAGGCAAGGATTCTGAGTGGACCAGCGTGGGTCATACGCTCATTCCTGAACCAATTCCATTGTTCAGGGGATTGGGTACCCTGTATGGCCAGGCCAGGGAGTGTTTTTGTTGGCAAGTTCCCAAAATTATCTGATCAGAGAGAAGGAATCATCCTCAGACAGAAACAGCAAATGTTCGGTACAGCCTTCACAGGGACTTCTCATGTATTGGTCACAGAAATAGTGGAGGAAGATCTCTGGTTAAGGTGCTATATAGAGTATGGGACTCATAAGGACATTGGATTCATACCAGATACTTGTTCCAGGAGAGAATCTAACTCGGTGAAGATTAAATCCCATTTGGCCAATCTTTTAGGTCTTACAGTGCATGAAGTTACTGATTAAATGACTAGTTAATTCACTTCAGCAACCATTTGATGGTTACTGAAGTGTTTTATCAAAAATTAAGGTGTTTGGATATTGGATAATCTAATTCTCTATTACAGGATTAACAATAATACAATAGGGGTACCTGGGTGGCTCAGATGGTTAGGCGTCTGCCTTCGGCTCAGGTCATGGTCCCAGAGTCCTGGGATTGAGCCCCGCGGTGCTTGGCGGGAGGCCTGCTTCTCCCTCTCCCACTCCCCCTGCTTGTGTTCCCTCTCTCGCTGTGTATCTCTCTGTCAAATAAATAAAGTCTTTAAAAAAAAATAATACAACAGTCACAGCTCATTATTTGCCATTCCTGAAGTGTGTTGGTTATAACAAACAGCTACAGTGAGAAGCCAGAACCTATATGAGACAATCATATTAACAGGCTAATAATCATGCTTCTATTTGCAGAAAACTTACCTTTTAAAATGTCAACCAGAATGTCCTCCCTAGAATATCAGAAAATTTTGCTGAACAAAAACTGGAATATTGCTGCCCACTGCTCTACTAAGTGAGTATTAAATAGTCATTTAAAACAAATCTTCCCCTTGCAAAAAGAGGGCAGTATAATAGGCATAGCTTTCTATGAATGGGCACAGTGACGGCTGCAGAACAAGCACGACATTGAGATCCACTGAAGACTATTTCCTAAGTGCTAAGTCTATGGTTATGGTAGTCAACTAGGCAAAATTGTATCTAGCAGCTAGTATCTAGCAGCTAAGGTCAGGGATGCTGCTAAACATTCTAAAACGTAGTAGTTAGTGCTCAAAGGCTGGCAGCTCCTAGATCATTAAGACAGGGTGAACTTGAACTTTAAAGAAACTAGAGTAACAGGCTGCGAATTTACATTTATGCTATAGGCTAGAGGAGTCATTGAACTTCCATGTAGAAGAAAGTGACAGGATGGAAATAAGGCTTTAGATTACTGAAATCAGAATCGAGGTAGTTTATAGGTGGTCACTGCACTATTCTTTTGGTTTTTCTGAATAGCTAACATTTTTCAAAGCGTAAGTTTTTATTTTTTAAACTTTGTTTTCCTTTGCAAGGATTTAGGCTCAATTGAAGACAGGGCCTGTTTGCTTTTTGCTCTCTCCTTGGAGCAGTACTTGGTGCACAGGAGGATGTGCACCGACTACTGTCGAAGTCCAGGGGTGCCTGGGTGGCTCAGTCGGTTAAGTGTCAGACTCTTGGTTTTGGCTCAGGTCATGATCTCATGGGTTCTGAGAGCCCGCCCACAATGGGCTCCGCACTCAGCAGGGAGTCTGCTTGAAGATCCTCTCCCTCTGCCTTTCCCTCTCTCTCTCTCTAAAAAAAAAAAAAAAAAAAAAAAAAATTTAAAAAAGATACTGTTGAAGTTTGGTGATTTGGGGAAAGGTGAACTCAAAAATGATGGGAGATTCATAGAATCAATTGCAGTTAAGTTAGAAAGGATGTGGCTCTGAGGAAAAATGAATTATGGTACAGCCTTTAGTGACAAAAATAATAAGAATAATAAATAAATAATAAGAACAGTCACACTGAGCACTTAGCTCCAGGCCCTGCTCATGCCACAGAGGCCACTCACTTTTTAAGGGAGTTACCATTCTCCCACTGTTCATAGGAGAAAATGGACACAAATGGAGACACTAAGTGAAGGACCTGCCCAAAAGTCAACAGCCAGCAAGTGGTATAGGTCAGATAAAAACCTAGTCAGACTTAAATGTGCAGTTAGCCAAATAGTTTTCAAATGAAATGGTAATAAATTACCCAATATGAACCCGAGTCTCTTCCTAAAAGCAAGTGAAAGAATGGGGAGGGGGGCGCGATGATAAATTTTAACAAAGTCAGTACATCTGAAGTTTTGATGAAAGGATTCCTAGACTAGCATTACTAGAGCATGTGAGTGGGATGGGCAGTGGTCAAAGTGTGATGCTGGAAGAAGAGATTTCAGAGATGGTGTGGATTCTGAAGTCAACATAAAGGGGATGACATGGGTGCAGGTGGTTAGGGATGTAGTAGGGATAGAGAAACCTTGGATGCAAGAAGTTGAGAAACTGAAACACAGAGTAATGGCATGCAAAATATACAGGACTCAGCTGATCCTCAAAAAAATGCTAATCCTAAGAAGTAAAAAGTCAGAAATAGCAGACATAGTCAACATGTTTCTTATCTGCATTTTAAAAGGATGAAAGTGAAAAAACCTGCCTGAATGGCAGGGCGGGGGATGTGAGCATATCACATTTGATGCGCTAGAAATGCACCATGAAGGCCGACAGTCCAGTTCTGCCCCAGGCCCCCATTCACTGTGCCCTGGTATGACTCAGTTAGATTCAAAATACTTTTCTGCTTGAAGGGAGTTAGGTGTTAACTGCTTTTGTTAAAAGTAAATAAAATAGTGAGGAGAAAAAAAATCCAACTAGTTGAATAGGAAATGTTAACATAAATTTCCAGGCAATATTTGTTACAAATAAACATCTATGCCTCAGCAATTCCTTTTGCTTGGGTTCCCCCCATAGCAGTCCACAGGGTTGAAGCCCTTATTTCCTTCAATAATCTGGGCAAACATCACCTTATCAGAGATCTCTGATCTTCCTATGGAAAATTACCAACCACCCCACCAATATCATGACCACCATATCTCCCTACCATAGTATCAGCCCTGTAAGAGTTCTCTGTTTTCTTCATGGTTTATTTCTAGTTCCTAGAACAGGTCTGCACACATAATAGGAGCGCAATAAATATTTGTTACATTTAAAAAATTACCTACTTGAACAACGCTCTAAGGTCTTAACGACTCAGTAAATCGAATGATTTCCCATTTCTACATTTAGAAAAGAAATTATCAATTTAAAGTGAAGAAAATAAGCTAAAATTTCTAGTCCAGTTTTTGTCCTTTTTACCACCCCCAAGATCAGTGTTCAGTTACAAAAATAAACTATTTTCCTTTAGGGCTCATAGCCTATGTGTTCCTTAAATCCAATTTGCTGAGCTTCATAGTTTTGTGAAATGCACTGCGTCCATGACAGTACCTTCTAATGACAACTCAGCACCTTCTAACCACCACAGTAGGAGACAACACTAAAAAGAATTTTTCCAGGCTGCCATATTCAATTAATACTTCTTTGTTGTTTTTTTGCAGGGGCAGGAGGATAGGAGGAGAGGATATTTATTTATTTATATGGACTTTATTGTTATTTATATTCAAGTTTTTGAACAAAAATAGAAAACATTTTGAATCAGAAAATGCCTGAAAGTCAAACATTAAAGACGGTGGTCCCATTACTCTTGAAACCAGACATCAGCTAAAATGGACTTTAAGTACTTTAAAAGTGAGTAAGCACAAGCGGTCTATTTGGTAAGTAGGGTTAAATGTCAGCAAATCTAAAATTTCAGAGGCAATATTTTATTTCAAAAGTAATAAATAATATGGTCACATATTAATTGGTAAGAGTTACAGTGATGGAAACCTTTAAAATTCTTATAAAAATTGGAATTATTTCACAGGCTGTTCACATTTCTCATGACTGTATGTTTTCCAATGACCTATTAATCTAAATTAAAAGTTAAATACACATTAACTTACCAACAATGATATAACTTCAAGGCTGAGAAAAAGCACTAATCACAAAGAATTTCAATTAAACGTTAATCTAGCAGTCCAGAGAGAAGAAATGTTATGAGAGATGAGAGAAGTCCTAATTCTAAATAATATAGCTTTGTATCTGTTTAAAAGACTAACATACCCTTAGCTTCATCAAAACACTTGTTAAAAAAATTACACATACCTATTTTGTTCAAGATGTAATATGAAACTTGAAATAATTCTTATTTTATAAAAAGGGTGACTCCTAAAAAAGGTTCATAGCATCTCATTAACAAAGCAAAAATATTACATTGAAATGGTTCATCTATTTTGGTCTCTAGTTATTAAAAAAAAAAAGCCACTAATAATTCATTATAATAGTTCTATAAACAGTTGGAAACATTATCAGGAAAAAAATTTTGTCAATGAAAAAAATCACTGATTCAATGAGCATTTGATCATTTTATTAACAAAATATAAGCAAGAATTACATCCTTCTCCCGTGAAACTTTTCAAATAATTTTATGTGGAGGGCCTTGAGATGTATCAATTATAAAACATGTTAAAAAGAAAAAAATTTTAAATGTACAAATACAAACCATTACTTTATACAAGAATTCTCTATAAAGTTCGTTAATGTAAAATATAATTTGTTTCAACTGAATATAAGGCATGTTCAGTTTCTGTAATTTTGTAGAATCATTTTTTTTGCTTTGTTGGAGACTTTTCTCTTCGCTGGTCCTGATGTTTCTTTGATTCTCTGGATTGTTTAGAGTATCTGCTAGATTTTTCCCATCGCCTTTCGGCACCATTCTGATACCTATCTTCATCACTTCTAGAACCTGAATGTTTTCTATTCTTCTCTCTTGACTTTGATCTATCTTTTCTTATAACATTTTCACTGTCCTTATTTCGGTGTCTGTGCTCATTTTCAGGAAAAGAATTTCTTCTCTCTCCTCTCTTCTTTTTGGGATCACCATGCTTATTTTCCAAATCTGTGTGTGCTTCTTGGTCTCTGTCATTCATGATTCTACTGTAACTATTTCGTTCAGAAGGAACACTTCTGTCTGAAGTGTATTTTGTTATGGGATTTCTCCAATGTGGATCCCTTGAATTTTTATCTTTATGTTTTTCTGACCTTCTTTCTCTTTCAGTCCATGTTTCTTGATGTCTTTGCTCTGGCCTTCTTTCTTCTTGTTTCCTATCATGGGTTTGTTGTTTCCTGATCAATTTATCTACTTCTTTACTTCTGGTGTTCCCTTGTCCCTTCTTTCTTGTATCAGTAGCTGCAGGTGTAAAATGAAGTAGTTAGCTTTTATTTTAATCTTTAATTTCATAATTTAACAATTACATTTATTGATCCATTGTAGGTTTATTAATTCAGACAAACTGGATGCAAAACTAAACTGATTGAATGGAAAGTCTGATGACAGAATATTTTATGAGTAATTTTTAAGAATATACATCATATCACCATTAGTTACCAAAGTACTGTTTTGATCTTTAGACTCAAAGCAGTAAACAGAAACTTTAAATAAACTATAGCAAATGTAAAGTTTTTTATAAAGTGACTAACATTTCCACTTCTAAAAAATACAGTGATCACACATGCCAGCAACATCACTCCCTAAAGGTGGGGGAGTGGGGTGCATGAGTTTGTTTAATAGCACAAATACACATTCTTCAAATAGAAACCTCTTTCTACAAAAACAACAGTTCTGGGGCGCTTGGGTGGCTCAGATGGTTAAGTGTCTGCCTTCGGCTCAGGTCATGATCCCAGGGTCCTGGGATCGAGCCCCGTATCGGGCTCCTTGCTCAGCAGGGAGCCTGCTTCTTCTTCTCCCTCTCTTCCTGCTCATGCTCTCTCTCTCTCTCTGTATCTCTGTGTCTCAAGTGAATAAATAAAAAAATCTTAAAAAAAACCCACAATAGTTCTGCTCTCCAGTGCTATCAGAGAAACAGTATCTGCACCAGGAAGTGAAGCTTGTTAAGACATATAATCATATGCTTTATGAGAGCTATGAAGGCTTGATTTCTGAGAAAACTCTTCTGAAATGGCCTAGAACAATTCAATCTCACTGATATAATCATAAATATAAATCTTAACCACAGTGAAATTTTAAGCTATAAAACAAGTTTAATCACTTTATATTTGTGTTATTTCTTTTGGGTACGTAAGTCAAAGTTGCTAAGATGACCAAAAGTTCTGTCAAATTCATACATATACAGAAAGAAGAAAATATGGTAGAAAACTGCCTACCTTCGTCCTATCTCCACTTAAATCTCACTGTACCAACCTCTTTCTTCTGCCAAATGTCTACCCTTGGCACAGTCCATTGGTTTGCCACTAAGGATTTATTTCTCTGGTTCTCAGCTGAGCTGCAGCTACCCAAGCAGAAACCATCTGGCTGTGTGCTAAATCAGCGTCTCTCTGACCCTACTCTACACCACTCTTTTTCTTGTGTCGCTGACACAAAACCCTGAGCCCTACCATAATATGCAACCTCCCCACTCTTTGGTGTTTGCTTTACAATTTTCTAATTTGGGAGCAGTTCATACTGTTTTTATGCTACTTAATATTTTACTAATAAAACTGAAAGCTCTCTACCGAAATTGTATGATGAGGCAAATTAATTCTGAATCGGCAAGATTCCTTATTGCAGCAATTCATGCTGTGTTATCATCTGTTCTCAAAACAGATACCATGAAATAACAAATTCTTTAGAATTAAAAGAGGTGAATATTAAACGAACAATGTTATATATTTTAATTCAAGAATAAGACTTCCTGTGGGCAAATGCAATCTTGCTCTAATAACATAAAATACTGAGAGTCCCACAATTCTGGCTGTCATACAGTATCTAATACTCTTTTAAGTGCAACAAGCCGGAGAACAAGAGTATAAAGATCAACCTTCCAAACTACTTTGTCCTGCCACTAAAATATGCATTAAAAAATAAGAAATGATATGTGTTTTGGACAATTAGACTATCTCTTATTCAGACCAAGATACTATGATGGAAGAAAACAGAGTTGACCCTGGGGAAAATACCACAGACCTTCTCAGAAAATGGCACATTTGAAAAAATCCTTTACTACTGTATTTCCACTTCCGGGGAGGATGAAGAAAGCTGTAGAAGACCAGTGCCCCTGCTGAAAACTACTAGAAATGCCAGATAAAAATTTAAAATCTTCTGCTTAAAGGCACTAAAGATCTTGAACAACTTGAGATGTTATAAAGAAAGGCAGTGCTCAAAAAAAAAGGATGGGGTATGTTGAAAGAACAGAGGGGTCAACTTGCAGGAGCTCTTAATTGCCAAAGCTGAAATAACCTGAACAACAAAATCAATGACAGTAATGGATTTTAACTAATTCAGATAAATATCCATGAGTCCACACTGATAAAATATACAGTTAATAAATAAATGGGGAGGGGGGAGAGGGACAACTTCTTCTTGCAGAAGAAATTCAATTACTAAATGCAGAAAAAAAAAGCAAATGGAAAAACCACGTTCAGCAAACACCACAGCAGTTAAGTATTTTTTTTTTTTTAAAAGATTTTATTTATTTATTTGAGACAGAGAGAATGAGAGAGAGAGAGCACATGAGAGGGGGGAGGGTCAGAGGCAGAAGCAGGCTCCCTGCCGAGCAGGGAGCCCGATGCGGGACTCGATCCAGGGACTCCAGGATTATGACCTGAGCCGAAGGCAGTCTCTTAACCAACTGAGCCACCCAGGCGCCCCTCACAGCAGTTAAGTATTGCAGACAAGATCCAAAGATGGATGCTAAAATTAAAGGGTGAAAGGTAGAGGAGGAAGAGAAGATTTGCATAGTATCAAATTATCTCCCTTATATAAGACATTAATTTACAGAAAAAAGGAGTTTCCATGAAGAAATCGAGCAGATACCACCATAACTGAGTAATCAAAGTTAATGTCACCAATAAGACATATTAATATTATGAACTCCAAGATAAGATGCATTAAGAATACATTTCTATGGTATTCTGTCCAAAAATGCATAACCTCATTCTAATCATGTAAAAACATCAGACAGATATCCGTATTGAGGGACATTCTAAAAAATAAGTGACCAGAGGACTTCAAAAGTATCAAAGCCATTAAAACCAAGAAAAGCCTGAGAGGAACTATCACAGGATACAGAGGACTAAGAAGAAACTCAGTTCAATGCAAGTAGGATCCTGGAATAAGAAAAATGACATTAATGGAAAATCTGGTGAAATTCAATTCAAATTCAAGAATTTGTTTAATGCATTGTTCCAATGTTAATTTCCTGGCTTTGATAATTGAACTCTGGTTAGTACAATGCTAACATTAGGAGAAGTTGGGTGAAGGCTATATGGGAATTTTCTGTACTTTCTGCAACTTTAAGTTGAATAAGGGTCAAGATTCAAGGAGCGCAGAACCATAGAGAGGTAAGCTGACATTCTACAGCCACTTTCTCCCTGTAAGCATCTGCTGATTCAGGGCTGCTGCTGAGGGACAGAGAGACCAACAGAGCTCTGGCAGCTGCACAGGCCTGGAGAGACAGAATGGAACTGAACTAGCTATTTGCAATACATACATGTCACAAAAGATACATATCCAGAAAACCTAAAGAACTCCTACAAATTTATAGAAGAGACAACTTCATAAAACAAAAAAAAGGGGGGAGGTAGCAAAAGACTTGAATAGCCACTTAACAAAAGGAAAAATACCCAAATGGCCAATAAGAATATAAAACAGTGCTCAACTTCATTAGTGATCAAGAAAATACAAATTAAAACCACAATGCAATACCATTACACATCTACCAGAATGGTTAAAACGAAGAAGATAGCCAACTGAAGTGCTGTGAGGATGGGAGCTACTGGAACTCTCAAACATGGCTGATGGGGGTATAAAGTGAAATAACCACTTGCAAAACTGACAGTTATCTACTAAAGCTAAATACGCACACAATCTACAACCCAGTGATTCCCAGTGATTCTCCAAGTACACACCCAACTGAAATGCACATATATACATATACATATATCTACCAAGTATGAATAAGAGTATTCACGGGAATACTATTTATAAATCTAAATTGCTGCTGAGTAAAAGGGATGTTAAATAGACTGTAGCATATTCATATAGTGGAAAACTATACAGCAATAAGATTGAATGAACTATAACTAAATGCAGTATTACAGGTGAATCTCACAAAAGTAATTGTGAAAGATAAGCCAGACATAAAGGAGTTCATAAAACATAGTTATAAAGTTAAAAGCAGGCACAATGAATTACGTAATTACAAATGAGAGCAGAAGCTGCCCTGAGGCAGTGGATGGGAGGAGTGGCAGTAGCTGGTAACTCTGGTTATGGGTAGTTAGCACATGGATGTGTTCTCTTCATGAACATTTACACTTAGGAAGTACGCACTGAATGCATGGCGCATGTCAATAACATAAACCCTCACTAAAGTAAAAAACTAAAATTTCTTTAAAATATAAACACCAGGAAAGCTATAAACTGGATTATAGGCATTATGAATGAACGGTATTTCAGTCATCACTCAAACAAATAAGTATTTGCCAATGAAACATCTTCATTTCTATGAAGGGGATGCCAATAGGTGATCTGAGCATTATAAATGATGCAATTCACTACAGACTCCAGCAGTGATAGATGATCATTTATATTACTAATTGTGGCTTTTAAACAACTGAATCTATAATAATTAAGCAATCAAATTATTTTGTTCCCTTGCTGTAAACATCACCAGCAATATACTTGTTAGAGAAGAGCCCAATCAATTATAAATGACTTTCCATACCTGAGGCAGAGCTCTGACTACTGCTGGATGAAGAATCGCTCTCTTCACTGGAAGACTCTGAACTGCTGTCACTGCTGTCCGAATCAGAGGCGGAGGAGTCAGACTCTGAAGAGGAGGATGCGGAAGAGGAAGAGGAGGGGGAGGATTTATTTGGCTCAACATCTGGTTTCTGTGCCACAATGACCTTTGGTGTATTTTTGAGATGCTCACGCAATTCATCCCTAATTAAAGATATAATCTCTGTTAGTTTCTGCTTCTAAGGCAACTGTGAGATAATTTTATAAGATGAAAATAAAATTCTGAAAATTATCCTTACGTTAAACCTCCAAGACCTATAGAAGTAAAGAAGTTGATGGCAAACCGAGTGTTTCTTGGATTATCTCGGGGTAATAACCCTTCAAAAAATGGCTGTAGGGTTCTAAAACAAGAAAACATATGAACAAAAGAAAACACATTGCTTAAAGATAAAAAGGCAGTATGCAGTCATTTTTCAGATTTTCTATGTATTATTAAATTACTAAATGAAATACAATTAAGTAAGTGATTTATATCATTTATTAGACTACATGCTATCTAAATGAAATGAGTAGGGTCAAGTCATAATTTACTAAAGTTACAACAGAGGTTTTTTAAGAAAAGATTTATTTATTTATTTATTTATTTGCGAGAGAGCTTGCGCATGTGTGTGCGTGGGAGGCGGGGCCTGAGGGAGAGAGGGAGAGAGAATCTCAGGCACACTCCCCATGGAGTGTAAGGCTCAACACCAGGCTCGATCTCACAACCCTGAGATCATGACCTGAACGGAAACCATGAGTCGGATGCTTAACTGACCGAGCCACCCAGGCACCCACATAAGTTTTTAAAAACTATTTTATACATCACACATACACACATATTGTAGACTATATACAATCATACACACACGCATATATATGTAGTATGTGAATGTATATAATAAAGTTGTGTGTGTATATATGTACATATATACACACACACACATACATGCACACACAGTACTGTGCATGGCACTGGGGGATGGGGAAAAGTAGTCAACAAAAGAGTGAAATCATGGATGAAGACTGCATATAATTATTATTTCTAGGAAGGGGAACAAAAAACATTAACAATATAAGGTGGTTTGGACATGTTGTTCTGAGTACCAATTTGAATGACTAACCAGCAGAGTCAGGACAAACTGTTTCATAGAAAAAGGTGACATATAAGGAGAATAATTAAGAGCTTTGCTGGATAGACCAAGAGAGGGGATTTCTAGCTCTGGAAATGGAGGTAAGGAAGCATGAATGAGTTGAGCAATGTTGGTGCAGGCTGTGGAGAGGGAGGAGATAAACCTGGTGAAGTAGACAGGGACCAATAAGTTAGTCTATGAAGCTAAAGGGAGCAGATGGACTAGCCCAGAGAATGGAAACTGTGGCAAAGAGGAGAGGTAGGCTAAAGAGTAGAGATCATGAAGAGTTAGGCAGAATGAGAAGAAAGTGAGGAGCCACAGTGAGCAAGTGGTCAACTGTGTAAGTAAGACTGGGAAGTCCAGGGGCATAAGGACTGAGAAAAAGTACTTGACTTGGCAGGTAGTCACTAAGAAATCTGAAAGGATGATTCAGCAGTGTGAATACAGTAGAAGTCAATGTGAGTGGCAATGGGTAATCTGAATAAACAGGAAATAAGAAAGCTGAGATAGGGATTACACAATAGTCCTGGAACAAGACTCTCATTCAGTGTAATAATTTGAACAATTACATGACTGGGTCATCTAAATATATTTACAATTATCCATTGATAACAAAGATTAATTAATTTTCTAAGGTTCAAAATTAGGGTTAAAAATGAAAATAAAACTGTAAGTAGTACTCATTATTGGAAAACTCCAGTGAACATACAAAAGAATTTTGTGTGTTCTAACTAAATTAAAAGAGGCATTGATTCTGTGTTTTCTCTACTGCAACTAAAATCCAACATTAAAAACTGCATGTTGTCCTGCACCACAGAACATGAGATTCAGAGTTGTAATTAGTGGATGAAGAAAGTCCTAGAGGTTTAACTACTGTTTTTACAACCAAGTGTGGACTTATGTTGCTACAATGGAAGAAAATTCCTGAGGACAGTAAGAATAAAAAGTGCATAATGATAAACTTACTCATCCTTTAATCTTGCATTAAGTTTAGGAAGACCCATATATTCACAAAGTTCTTGAAAAAATATTTTAACAAAAATTCTACTAGATGATGTAGTGGTTTCTTCACTTAGCTTTATACATTCAAGAACCTGAAAATTAAAATTAAAAGACAATTTTATTTTGTTCAAAAGACAAAATGACCAACATTTATAACTCTAAGCGTCTCTAAAGAATTATCCGTGAATATCTTTCTTTGTCCTGATAAGTATTACTTGTTGGCAAAGTTTAAGACTACCTCTCTATGCTAATTTTCGTAATGCTAAGATACTACAGAAATAGAGTTCATTCTTTCTTGAGTAATGTGCTTTTTATAGCAGAGATATATTCTACTGTGAGTATATAATGCTGAAGCAAAGATTACTAGCTCCTAAAACTCACTCATCAAAATGTGGATATATATAAGGGTTTGGGGCAAAATGCCACTTAGAGCATTAGGCTATAGTTTTGTGACTACATATACAATAAGGGTAAAGACAGGAAGAGTGATAGCTTGTTCTGAATACTAAGACTGAGGCTTAAAAACTGAAGCCATAGAGAGATGTTTTAGGACAAATAAAACGAAAAGTAACCTCCAGTCTTTATGAGTTCTGTGTTCCAGGAACCCATCTACTTCAATTGGTTAAAACCTTGATTTCATTTTCATTCCCAGAGGGAGAAAAAGAAGTAAAAATATTATTATAATCAGGCTCCTATATTATGTCTAGCTGCCTATTAATGCAGCTAGACATACTTAGTACTTACAATATTACAACAATCTAATGTTTATGAGGTCACTTTGCTGCCTCATTCTACCATTAGGTTGTGGTATTCTACAATGTGATCCTCTTCTTTCTTTCCTCTTGGATGTAATTTCTTTCTTTCAACTTCACTTTTCTTATAACGTATCACTTGTTATTTCGTATTGGCGCTATGGGCATATCTTACCTTATGTATTTCTTATATGGTATGCTTCTTGAAAGCAGAGATCATATATAATTCACTTTGGATGCCCAGTATCTCTCTCAAGTGACTGGGCACATAGCTGGTAACTAAATGAATGGTTGTTGGATGAACAGCAGTTGTACAATAAATGCCAGCTTCATGAATGCATTTCAAATTCCAATCCAGTATACATCTGTGTATCAAGGATATCTTATCTTGTTCTAAAGAACTGACTACATAATGCATGGACCACCAAGCTATTGATGTATGTGGGTATGAGTGTGTATTCACATGTGCACACCTAGAGAAGATGAAAATCTCTATTTTCCCTGAAAACACCATTAGCCATCACTATTAAAAAGGACTGTGATGTTTGGACTGTTAAAATCACCTAGGATGGTGTTTCTTATACTCATGTTATTTACTTAGCTTCTCGATCCCACGTTATATGAATATAACCTCAAAGATAGCCATTACAGTAAAAGTTTGCTATACATTTCATTTTAAAAGTACATTTCCTACATAGGAAAAGTATGGTTATATTATACTTAATACTCTATTCGAGAATAACGGGATTAGGAAGGAAGTATAAATATCAACCCATCTACTTACACTCCATGGAAGTGAATCAGTATATAAAAGGTGAGCAAACATCTTAGCAACATTTCTCAATTTGTTTGTTTCCAAGCGATGGATGGTATCATATTGTTCTTTGAATATACTTTCAAAGGATTCCATGTATTCTTTTTTTAGCATGCAAAATCGCTAATAAATAAAAAAAAACTGAATGTCAGTACCACTAAAAATTGACTCTCAATACCATTATGAGCATATCAGATCCTTCTAAATTTACTGAATCAAAAATTAGTAAATATTTTATATATTATATCACTCAATCTTTTTGTGCTATATGATGGAATGCTTAAAAAAGAAGGTAATATATATCATCCCTATTTACCTGGGGTTTATATGCTAAAACAAAATTATACAAGTAGCTTATCATAGACACATACATTTGCATACTATGTAAATATATTTCTCTGTGGGTAGAGTTTAGATTTAAAAACTTATTTTAGCTCATGCTCTATTTGTGCTGCCTGAACATGTACTTGACTTCAGAAACTGCTTTGAGATTTTGAAATGGCAACATTTAATTGTCCTCTTTGGGAAATTGTTACAAAGCATACAGAATTTCAAAAAGTTCTGGAAGAGTCACATGGCAATGTTAAGGCACTACAAAATGAAGTAGGAAAGGAGGAAACTACAGAGGATGGGAAACCTGAGGAAGGGAAGAGCAATGAACTTTTAGCAAAGATTTGCTATTGTATTAGACAAGACCACAAAGCAGACACATTAATTCACAATATTCATGTTAAGAATTCCCTTAGTGATTCTATTACATTCCAACAAGAAAAATGAGGCTAGAACTCACCCCAGCTAATAAGCCAAAAAATTTCTCATATGTCCTTTGTTGGGCACAACAGTCAAGTATCATGTTGCAGAGTTCTTTCTATTTGGAAAAAAAACTGCATTAATAATTCAGAACAGAATGAATCCATGCTATATGATAATTTATCAATATGACAGAGACAGCCTGAATTTTAAATAAGGTTTTAAATATACAAAACTTCCAAAGCTTTGTGAGCTTGTTATTAAGACAAAATTAAAAAATTCAATCTATGTCAAGCCTATAGTTTTTTAAAGCCTTCAGCTTAGCTGACAGTTTCCATAGTCATCCATGCTAATTAGATTACAAAATTCTAAATTCATATTAAGTATGAATCACTTCAAGAAAATCTACTATATGAAACAGATACACCATGAAGAGACTGAATAGACTGTATTCTAAAAAGTTTCTACACAAAATCTTTAAAAATATAGATCATCAATACGCCACCTAACAATTCAGTTATACACCTTTAAACTCAATTATTAAGGAATATATTTAATTAGTATGGAAAAGGTAGAACATGAGTCTTCATAGAAGCATAAATAAGCACAGCTACAAAAAAAAAAAAATAAGCACAGCTACAACATTAACTTAAATGACACTCTGGTTAATAAAGAAAAAATATTTTTACAAGAACAAAGAAAAAAACACCTCTGTGGCTGGATTTCCCAGCCTCAAAATAAATGTTACGCATATACATCTATCTATTGATAAATCTATACAAATAGATCAAATCATTCCATAACTGCTGGAGTAATATATTGTCTAATCAGCTATTTATGTGCCTTGAAAACTCCTGTGTAAAATTCTGTTGAACTAATAAATGCGAGAGTAAATCCAGGACCAGGAAACACTATCATCACAAATGATTTATAATTTTAAAATACTGTAATGAAATATGTATTGATTATATCAATTTCATAGACAAAGAAAATCAGGAAACATGGACAAATCAATGGAGAGACAAAATGAAAAAAGGCCTAAATTCATTCTCTGACCACTGCTGTAGAACTGACTAAATATCTTTTTCTACAAAACATTTACCAAAAAGTTAAAGATTATTTTTTCCAAATATAGTAACTGCAATGTATTTGTGTTCTATGAACAGAAAATATAATATAATGCATAATATATAAAAATGTATTTATTATATAAAATATAATACATGCCCTTTCAGTTCATTTTTACTTCTATTTAATTTTACCTTTATATTTTCAATTGGCAATTTTGACATTTTGTCATATTTAACAATGTGAGATGCAACCTAAGCAAATATTGTAAATATTTTTAAAACTCAGGTCTATCTATATTTACTGCATATATCTATGCACAAGAGGGAGGAAAAGGGTCCCAAAGAAGCACAGAACAGGTACTCTAGAACTGTGCTGTCTAGCATGGTAACCCCTAGCTAATTAGTTGAATAACATTACATAAAATTAAAATTTTTGTTCTTTGGTCATACCAGCCACATTTTCAGTACTCAAAAGCCACATGTGACTAGTGGCTACTATATTAGACAGCGTGGAATACAAATATTTTCATCACTGCAGAAAGTTCTATTGGTTGAACTGTTCTGGAAGTTGATAATCTACTTATAAAACAATCTACTCAAAAAGCCTTACTTAATTCACAATATTAAGTTGTTTCTAGATGTCGTTACATTGCTAAATTATTTTTTTATGATTAGTCACAAGTCACCTCAATTAAAAAAAATGCTTATTAATGTGTAAGTTCTGGAAAAATGTACTTTGTCAAAATTTAATATAGTACTAAAAAGTTAAAATGAGGTTTTTCTGAGTTCTGCCATATTGTGTTAATTTGATATATTAAAATGCATTTTCAACTCTTTCTACTAACATTGTATTTTACAATAACATAACAGTTAATCAGGTTTTAAACAACATAACATGGTAATATGCTGACAGCTTTGCTAATAAAGCCAGTGCTACTTATAAAACAAATCACTTTCTTCCCTAGACTAAATGCAATTATAAGAGTTATTCCCTGTGGCCTATAATAATTAAATATTTTAACATTTTAATTAAATATTATAGCCATTTTAGGAGAGTCTTTTGAGTGCATGAAAATAGATGCACTAAGACATTCTTCCAACTATCAAAATATGCTGAGGTTAGTTCTAGAACAACTATCTTCTGAATTAATATTAATAAAAGTTATAATGACTTAATTATACTCCTCAAATAATGTGGCAAGATCATATAGTAATTTCAGTTTCAATTATAATTTTAAAGGTTAATTCACTAATTTATTTCCTTTCAAAAGTGAACACATCAAGTGCACCCAGGGTACAAATAGGTACACTGTTTCTAATATACCAGCAAACAAACTTTAAGAGGGAAAAAAGAACTTTCATTTCTTCTCAAAATTACATACCATGGCATTTCAAGAAGAAATCCATAATCTAGAAAAAGTCTGGCAAACTTTTTCAATCGAAGGCCAGATAGTAAATATTTTAGGCTTTAGAGGCTATAAGATGTCTGTCGCAACCAGTCAATTCTGCTGCCATAAGGTGAAAACAGCTATACACAATACACCAACCAATGGGCATGGCTGTATTCCAATAAAATTTTATTTTTTTTAATTTTTATTTATTTATTTATTTTTAAAGATTTTATTTATTAATTTGACAAAGAGAGACACAGCGAGAGAGGGAACACAAGCAGGGGGAGTGGGAGAGGGGGAAGCAGGCTTCCCATGGAGCGGGGAGCCCGATGCGGGGCTCGATCCCAGGAGCCCGGGATCATGACCCGAGCCGAAGGCAGATGCTTAACAACTGAGCCACCCAGGCACCCCTCCAATAAAATTTTAATTAGAAAAATGGGTAGTGGGCCTGGGCCACAGTCTGCCAATCCCCGTAACAGATCATATTTAAAGCCTTAAAACAAAGCACTTACACCTAATAGTAACAGCTCAGATAGTCAAGATCTTTTAGAAACAGAAACAGCCTAGAGTTGATCTATTCACTGCGGCATCTGTGCTGGGTCTACCATGTGTAAACCAGGGTGTGAAAAACAAAACCCCAAAAGCCTTGGCTCAGGTTCCAAGGATTTAAAATGTAGATGCGCAGGGAGCAATGTAGATAAGAATGCAACTATAAAAAACACCCAAGACAATCTACTCAATCCAGTCTTTATTATTTTTGTCATTAAGCTTCTATGATACTTTGAACAGTGAAGTATATACTAAGTTATAAGATTATGAGTCCCCTGGACTAAGAGGGGGCTGATATGTACTGGATTACTGAATCCCTGATACCCTGTAGAGAGTCTGATATGTAGTATATGCTGAATACATTTTGTTGAATTAATGAATGAAAAAAAAAATGACAGATTCTTCTATATCCAATTAAAACAATGTAACAACATGTATGGTGATCATTACAATTTCTACCACAAAAGAATGTTTTAGTGCATTAAGTAGATGGAGTAGGCAATTCATTAAGGAACAAATTTCCTATTGTATTTTAAGCCACCATTTGATTTATAGGCAACCACTCAGAAATTCATGTAAAGTGCAGTGGTTCAGAGACTTCCTCCTTTTCCCACATCCCATTTGAGCAGTCCATTTAATTCACTGCAATGAGTAGCATTTATGAGGCACCCCAGAACTAAGTTTTAAGTTATTTTAAAATTTTAGAATAGCTACATTAAAAAATGAATATTCAATACTGAGTTATTTCAATTCATAAAGCCTATATTAACTGTCTTAAACATTTTTATAACCAATATTATTTCCTAATAGAAGAAAAAAATATTAACTTACTGTTTGGCTCTCAGGGAACTCCATTTTCAGCAATTTGTGAGCACATTCTTCAAAATCTAAACTGTAGAGATAAAATAAGTTAAAAACTTGCAGCATTGTTAAACTATAGCACTCTTTTATAAACAAGGATCTCACTTTAGTAATTGTTTAAAATAACTTTTTTATTGTAACTTCACAGTACTGTATCATGTATATAGAAAAGAAATAGCTCTTAATTCTACAAAGAATGAAGTACTGAGATGTACTACAACATGGATGAACTCTGATTTATGTGAAGTGAAAAAGTCAGATATAAAAGACCACATACAGTTTGATTCCATTTATATAAGCTGTCCAGAATGGGCAAATATATAGACAGAAAGTAGACAAATTTTTATGACATTGCTAAATATTTCCACTTATCTCTGACCCAAGTCAGTAAGAGGTAAAAGATGCCCCAGAGCCCAGCATGACATCTAGTGCTTAATCACCACATTTATAAGTTATCATGATTCATACCCAACCACAGTGCTTCTACATTTTCAAAAACTAAGTATAAAAATAGTAAATAACCAAAATCACTTACAAGGAAAAATAATTTGCTTTTATACAAAATTCATGTAAGTTTCATTAAAAATATTTCCAATATACTTAAGAAAATTATCAAATTTAATGTGAGCTCAATACAGGAATAATACTAATATATTTGTACTTTTTGTAGAATGTTCAACCCTTCATTCTTTTGATAAAAGCAGTATAAAATAATCAACCACTGAAATAGTATGACTATGAATTTAGTTTTATAGTTCATCTGATTTCTCAGCTTCTGATACTTACTGAGTTTCATAAGCACAAAAGAGTAATAACTCAGAATGGTTCAATGTAATGGAATTAAAAAAAAAACAAACTAAAATGAAGAAAGAAATATGTCAGAAAGAGCTTTTGCAACAGGTGATATTAAACAATATCTGGCACTAAGATTAAAATATTAAACTGTAGTTGATAAACCTCAACAATATAGCAATATTACCAAAAAGTATTTTGAAAGATGTTGACATTTTCTTTTCTAGTTTTAATTTTTTTTAAGAACACAATTAGTATGCAGGAAAAAACCCTGCAATTTCTGAAAAATAAGTCAATCAATTAATAAAAATATTTTATAACTTTCAGTTTATCTAGTAAGTACCATTGAGAAAGTTAGCTGTATGATAGTCTATTTTCCTTGTTCTTATTTTAAAAGTATTTGGTAACTTCCTATACCAAGATTGTTTTGAAGTTGTACTAAATGTAAATATTAAATGAATTAAATTTGCTTGTTGTTTCAGTTATCTTAGGTTGCTAAATCAAATGAATTTCAGGTTTAACACAAATAAATAGCGACTGAGGGAAGGGTAAAGAAAAATGATTTTACATGATGCTAGTTTCGCAGCTGTGTTTACACATGGTTTTGTTGATGTTTCCAATCTAAGAAATTTTGGTGGGAAAAAGATAAACCCACCTCCCTCTGATGCTACAGCTTCAATAATGCAAAGTCAGAGTGGAACATCATTTGAAAGCAAGAACAAACAGGAATGTTTACTTTTTAGTAACAAAACCAACTGTACAATTTTATGTTTTGTGTAAATGAGAGAGGGTCATTTAGGAGCCAGGATAGTAAGAAGGTAAGAGTACAGGTGAGATGAGTCAACAAGTCTAAAAGGAAAGAAATTAAAAAAAAAAATCACCACACAGTTCAGTTGTCGCCCTTTTGTTTGCAAGATTTCCAAAAGCAAAGTGTATAAAGTGCCCTCACTGCCATCTGACTTGATGATTATATTCCATTCTTGATTTATATTATACTTGGTACAGATTGGTATACTGTAAACATAAGACTTTCGAAAAACATAAAAAACTGGAAAACACAGACACAAAAAAATCTGTAATCCAATCTCCTCTCAAGACTACCACTGTTGATATGTTAATGTATCACTTTTAGAATCTGTCTACCTATTTAAACAGTTAATACTACTGGTACAGTACTATAGTGTCTATGCAGTTTTTGCCCCATTTCACATTAAGTCAGACCACTTGCCCACATCAGTAACAATTCCCACATTAGCCTAACTTTCAATGGTGGCATAAACTGGACATTTGATTATTTGTATTGGACAAGATGGTCTTTTTTTCTTTGTACTGAACAATTCTATATATAATTCTGTCAATTTCTATTTCTTTAAGAAATATAATGAAAAAGAATGGTCAAATGGCATGGACATTAAGTCCCTGATTCATGTTACCAAAAGGCTTTCCATAAAGAGTTTATCAATTTAAATTACCGCCAATAATGTTTACCTGTATCTCAGTAAAATCATTAATACTGAGTACTGCTGCTTTGAAAAAAAAATTAAAGTAAATCACTTCAGCTGTTTTAATGACCAATAATAGCACTTACTAATCTAGAGTGATATTTGTTCAATAACTTTATAATTCAGGATCCCATTACATGACTCCCTCAACCATGTCCTTTAAACATCTGTCTTTGTGGTTCTTTCTAAAATATGTATGAGATTTTAAGTCTAGTAAACTCTGTCATATATAAATTATTTTTACTAGACATTCAGGGGCTCAGAAGTCTTAACAAATACCAACACATAAAACAGTACTGCTGTTACTAGAGTTGGTACTACTTGGTAATCATGATTGTCACCTGTCTGATGCTTTCATTTTTCAAATCTTTTGTGTGGTTCAAGGATTATCAAGGTTTGATAAACTAAAAAAACAGTTTCCTTTAAATAGTTATCCAAACAGCTCCACTGTAACTCTTCAAAGTTAATGTTAACAGCAATATTAAAACAGTGAATCTGCTGTTTACAACAGATTACTGTTGAATTTCTAGAAAAGGATAAATGAAAGGTCAAACTAAGAAGTTTTACCTAAAACAAAAACTTCTCATGTTTCACTTTAAGTTTGTATGAAAAAATAGTTAATAGATTTTTCTTTCATGCGAAAGGCAAAGAAATAGGTAAGGATAAACCAAAAATATTTCTAGCCAATGTTTTGTTTTTTAACATTTCCCTTTCTGAAGATGAATCTAAGCCAAAAAGTTTTCAGACAGAATAAAAACAGGATGACTCCTACGTATGAATCATTTTTGCTATTACATCATACTAAATGGAAATATACAAAACCTAGTAAGAAAACGAAACTGAGAAAACATTCCTCCTCCGGTGCAAAATGTAAACACTTTGCCCATTAAATAAATAGGCTGATTCGCATAAAAAACAACAGATGTACTAAGCATTTAATATTTCATTTATTTCTCTTCCAAACCAAACTCACAGCCTTCAAAGGGAATAGGATATTCACATGACATCACAGTAGTTCTTACTTAACATTACTTCAAAGGGTCCTCAAAACCTTCCTATTTCCATTTATATTCATTTCCATTTGCACACACAAAAAAATCAGTGTCCAAAAGTTATCAAAGAAGTACTTCTATGCTTAGAATCAGAATTAGAAACCAAATTAAAAAAAATATTAAATTTCCACTATAATTATATACTGTGCCAGCTCTATAACACAGAGTTGTCTTCAGGTTTTTATTAGTGATATTTAACTATAAGGAATGACACAGTTAAAAAAAACCCATTTAATTATGTAACACAATTAGACCTTCCAAATAAAGATAATTTTCTCCTGAAGCAAAGAACCAACAGCAGGGATCTATGAAGTTGGGCAGGTAGTTTGAGAATCCCTGAAATGGTTTCTAGTTTTCCGTCATCAGATTCTAAAAATCCCATCTTCTTGTCCATCCCCTATGCAAAATAAGGATCAACTGAACTACGGTATCTTACCTTGACTGAATAGCAAGATAAATTGTACGACGAAATGAGACTAGATTAATTTCTGTTTTGTCATGAATAGTCACTTTTTGTCCTGAAAGAAATTAAACATAATAAAACTACGAGACTACAAAAATAAATGTGAAGGACTGAAGATGTATCTCTAGATAATAATTTTTCATAAATATTTAGAATCTATGAGTTTAACAATAATGCTCTTTTCTACAGTGTAAAATAGTATTTGCAGAGCTCAAAGTAACCATTTCCAGTCTTCTGCCATATCTTAGAGTATTTTAATAACTTTTGTCAGTTCAAAGAAGTCCAGAATCATGCCAGAAATATTTTTGTTTCTGTGTTGCCTGCTCATTTAGACATTATAAAAGGCAGCACTCATGCTGTTGTTTGGTAAAATACTATTTCTAGAATTATAAACAGTATCTTGATAATTTGGAAGGACTGTAAATTATGGATAGAAAATCAGTTTCAGAGAACACTGGGTCATCATGGCAGACTAGATGGGTCCAATATAAATATGTGTATTTATCAAAATTCTCTCTTATCTAATGCAGGACAATTTCCCCTATAAATATTTAGTGGTTCTTATTTGAACTGTATTTTCACATAAAACAAAGAAATTCTAAAGTTAAATATAGTACATAGGAAATGTTTTAAGTAAGAAAGACACTGGAAAAAAAATTTGAATTTATTTTTATAAAATATGTTGTAGAAGAATAATTACACTTTAGGACAGAACTAAAGTAGATTATGTCCTAAAAGGGAAAGATATACTCTTAATATTTTCAAATATGCAATATAAGTAAATAATGACCAGTCTTACGTATGTTTTGATGTTTTAACTAAGACAAATAAAATAAAGTTCTGAGCTTATTTTTCTGTGAAATAAAGTAATCAAAGCTGAAGAAGAACATTATGCCTGATTTGTGCAAACACAGCTTTTGGCCTCCCCACTCTATGTTGCCAAAATGAATAGCAAATACCTAGCCACATTCATCTGTCACATTCATGTCGGGTTGCAGAAATCACATGCACTCAACACGAATGCATCTTTTTCATGGGTTATACTCAAAGGCATAAAATGTCAAATTGAAATTATGCTGATTATCATTAAAAAATGATTTCCTTCTTTAACACTTTTAGAGCACGGTTTTTCAACCTTAGCAATACTGGTATTTTGGGCTAGATAATACTCTGTTGTGGTGGGGGCAGTCTTGTGACTTGTAGGATGTTTAACAGCATCCCCAGCCTTCACCCACTAGATGCCAGTAGCAGCCCCCAGCCCTCCACAGATTGGGAACCACTATTTTAGAGGATTACATTAGAATTAATTTAATTTCAGAGTATTTTACAGTATTACTAGAATCAGCTAACTTTTACCTTCTTCATCTTCTTCTCCCTCTTCATCCTCTTCTTCCTCTTCCTCTTCACTACTTCCAGCATCTTGGTCTGTGTTTGAGTCACTATCTCCCTCATCAAGAATTTCTATCAGAACAAAGTATGGGAAAATATTAATGAGCAAGTGATACACATGAATCTCATTCTGAGAAGATAATTCTCAGTTTGCCAAAATCCATAGTGGCTACAGTTTATCACCAACGATGTGAGCACAGGGGTCTCATGTTATTGCCTAGGTGGTCAGAGAGCCATACATATCATTCTTCTGCCAAGTAGAAAATGGTCATAAAATAAGGAAGGGATGAGAAGAACAACAACAAAAAAAGTAGATGAAGGTTTTCCAAAAGAGCAAGAGCACCGGAAAAACAAATTATGAATGGAAACTAGTATACTGGAGTCAAAATATTATTAGTTCAGCATCAGAAAGGATACAGTCTATTATACAAAGCTAAGGCTAGATATAGAAAATAAGAATTTAGGCTGTGAAAGACAAAGAAGGGAGAAAAAATAATTGCATAATTTAGTGTTTACTTTCAATAAACAGTAATGAGATTTTTATTCTAACGTATACCTATTGAATAGAACATTACAATTAATCTCAAGACTTTCCACATGTAAACAGAAACAGAAGTTTAAAAACCTTTTAAAAAATTGGTAAGATGAACACTTCACTGGAAAATCACTTCTTAAAATACAACTTACATCTAGAACTGTATGAAAACAGCAATGTAAATAAGAGACTACATAAAGCTAGTCATCATATTAATAGTTAACAAGTGAAAAAAAACTAGTTATATTTCGCCCAATGGTTTGTGCTCTGTTGATCTGATAAAAGATTTTACAAACCTGGCTAACACTCCACTTTTGCATTTCTTCTAAAATCAGAGTTTTTAAGATAAAGTTTTAGGGGGGCACCTGGGTGGCTCAGTCGTTAAGTGTCTGCCTTCGGCTCAGGTCATGATCCCAGGGTCCTGGGATCAAGCCCTGCATCAGGCTCCCTGCTCAGCAGGAAGCTTGCTTCTCCCTCTCCCACTCTGCCTGTTTGTGTTCCCTCTCTCGCTGTGTCTCTCTGTCAGATAAAATAAAATCTTAAAAAAAAAAAAAAGATAAAGTTTTAGGGTGAACTTACTTTTAGGGAAATTCTAATTTCTTATATTTAACTGAGCACTATAAATCAGGAGTCACATATAATATTTAATGCTAGCAGAAAACTTCATACTGTGAAAAATAAATCATTTTATTAAAACGAAGAGTTGTCATTCAGCCCTTAGCTGACAAACAAATCCCAAGAATATCTCTAACAAATGTGACTTCAAGAAATAATGTAAAGTGTCTAGTTTCCTATTATATAATATAGCTTAGACAGACTTTTAAGAGAGGAAACTATTTAGTATTCAATAGTAGGAAGACAGGCACTCCTGCTGTCTTCCCAAATGCTGTAAGACCTAAAACACAAGTGCACCTGGGTCACGCTAAGGTGCTAATTACTAAAGCTGTGCCCACTTCCTGCTGTGGCCATTTTTTTATGCCAGTTCTAGAAGAACATTTTATGAAAGAATGAAGGTCAAATGAATTGTCTGGTCGTTTACATCATCCTCTCCTCATCTCTCCACTTGAGAATCTACTTACTGAAATCACTTAGGCAATGACAACTGGATTTCATTAACTGAATGAAGCAGCGGTTTCAAGGTATGATGTAAGTCCCCGGGGGATCAGTGAGACCTGTCAGGTGGTCTGTGAGGTCACAACTATTTTCATAACAACATCCAGACATTACCTGCCTTTCTGCTGTGCTACCATCTACAAGCATCCAGAAGCAATGGGAGTTGAAGCTGCTGCAATCTGAGCACAAATCAAGCACCAAACTGAACCAGCCATCACTTGCTCTTTACTGCCATGTTCTTGGAGGCAGGAAAAGAGCTAGTTTGACCTGAGGATGCCCTTGAGGAAGAAGTAGAAAACTGCTAATTTCACTGAAGCTCAGCCCTAAAGTGTAAGCATATATAATCATCTGAGTAGCAAAACATGAATTCATACATAGCCCTTTTGTTAAAGACAGATGCACAATGGTGATGGTTACCTCAAAGAAAAGCACTTGTGCTACTCTTTGACTTGCAAGGTCAATTAGTGATGTTTTCCATTTTTACTTGAAAGAATAGTTGGCAAACTATAGTTGTTAGGAATCTGGCAGACATTTTCTCAAATATAAACAAAGTGAGACTGTCACTTCAACAAAATAATTAACAGTATTTACTACCATGATAAAATAGGGAGTTCTCAAGAGAAAATTAGAACTTTGGAGAACTTGGATCCATTTCTGTGAGGTTGAAAGCTTCCCAATACTTAGACTTCTCTGATGAGGTAGGTGGCAATACTAATAAATGTGACTTCTTGATATCATGTTAATGTGTTAATTTAATTTTGATAATGTTGACATGTTAACACTTAGAAAATATGCATAACTGAGTGAACTGATATTTTCTAAATGACCAACGGAATATGTTGCAAAATCCTGCATGGGTAAAAGATCCATTCAAAGTGACAGGCCAATAGATTTTGATGTAATAGAGCATGAAAATTCAAGAATATTGTTTCAGGTTTCACACTGCAATTAATCTTTAAGAAACAATTAGCTTTTAAATACTGGCATAGTATTAACAAAGAATATACACACTATCTAAAAAGGTTATTAAAATACTTCTCTCTTTTCCAAATACATATTATCCATGAGGCTAAATTTTCTTCATATACTTCAATGAAAACAACCTATTGCAAGAGACTGAAATCACAAATAATATGAAAATCCATCTCCTATTAAGTCAGATATTAAATTGTATCGAGTATACAAAACATGCCATTTTTCTTAAATTTCTTTGTTTCAGAAAGTAGTTATTTTCATAAAAGTATATAATGTATAACACTGTTTATTACTGTTAATTTGAAATAATTTGATAAATGTTTTTAATATTCTCAGTTTTAATTGCTAATGAAGTAAATGTCAATAGATGTAACCCACACAAACAAAAGCTCTTTGGAGTCCTAAATAATTTTCAAGAGAATAAAGGGAACTTAAGTTCAGAGAGTTTAGGTGCTATAATAAAGAAAAGTACTACTTTCCTAGCATTGCTCAACCACCGTTGGCCTAAAGAAATGGATGTGGAGTTTCCAAGTTAAAAGAAAAAAAAAATCATACTAGGTATGATAAAAATTCCATAAAACCATTTAGAATCTTTGAGTGATACTGCAGAAAAAGAAGTTCATAAGAAGGCAAAATAGGTCTGAGGAATTCTCCATGTCTAGAAACTAAATTGTAATAGCAAAAGGAATCTGGCTATTGTAGTGAAATGTCCCTAGGAAACTGGCACCTAAGGAGAGCAATCTCTTTATTGTACCAGATTTTTAGAATAATGTATAGAAATGGAAAGCTGCTTACACCTTACTTTCTACTTCATTCTACTTCCAAGCCTGACTGAAGCACAGAATGGAGGAAGTGACCAGAGCTCTAGGCTTCCTGCTGTCTTCCTGAGAGCTTTCAGAACAGTAAGTACTTCTCACATAAAATCACAACTCAAGGGAAACGAACTTATAAAATTATAATTATAATAGAATTACACAGGTATCCCTGAAAATTAACTTTAGAAGAGAAATGATACAAATGTCAAAAAAAAAAAAGCATTGCCTAAATACTTGCTCTATGATAATACAAAGCACTGTATTTTATTTATTCTTAAACAAACAAGTAACATTTACTTCAAACAAGTAATTTGTGCCAAGTCACTTAGCTAGTAATGGCACAGACAAAATACAAACCAAAGTCTGTCCAAAGTTAGTGCTTATAATATATTGATGACATACAAATGATAATAATAATCAATTTATTAATTTATTGAGCACTGATAGCCTATCTGGAATTGTCATTGATTTTATCAGGATATCAACCTGCTCTGAAGAAATAATAAAATACTGTACTTTATAATAAAAGTATAGCATCTAGTTGAATATTACATTGGACATCAATTTAAGCACCAATTCTTAAGTGGTAGTGAACTTAAAAGAAGGGCCACTAGTAATATAGGAACATTTCTTTTTTTTTTTTTAAAGATTTATTTATTTATTTTAGAGAGAGAAAGCAAGAGAGAGAGAGACAGAGAGAGCATGTGTGCAGACAGAGGGGCAGAAGGAGAGGGAAAGAATCTCAAGCAGACTCCCTGCTGAGCCTACCACAAGGCTCAATCTCAGGACCCTGAGATGATTACCTGAGCCGAAACTGAGTCAGATGCTCAACCGATTGAGCCACCCAGGCAACCTTATATAGACATTTCTTAAGAGGAATGAGACTTAAGGGCTGTATAATTTAAATAGAGGGAAAGAGGACAGGGACAATGAGGTAAATAATTTAGAATGAAGTAATACCACAAACAAGCACCAGAGAGAAAAATAACGCATGGGAAAACAGTGAAGAGAATGGCTTCATAATAGCAGAGATTTCATTAGGTCAGTGATCTAAACCTTTCTATCAGTATTATATAACTACATGAATTGCTTCTACTTATCCAAAATAGATTATAAAATTGTATATACCTTTCTTAATAGCTTTGTACTTCTCTTCATTCTCCATAAAATTAGGATCCATCTTGAAAACATCTTAAAAAGATAAATTAAAAATTGTTTATTTTCTATATTTACATTTGTTGGTGCCCCACTTCCCAACTCACCCTATACCCGGCCCACCCCTCCCCAACTCAGACTCACTAAGAACATCTTCTGGATTATAGTCATCCTCCAGAGGGAGCATATGGGTGAACTGATCATCTTCTTCCACTAAGTCAAGTCCTTCTAGGATAACAGGGTGGTCCTTGAATCCATCCTTCCGTACAGCAAACATCACTTCAATCATATACTGAACCCTTTTGTCAATTTCAGACTCATGGAGAATGTTTCGGAGGCGCTCAAATATAGCTAAAGTTAAAATGAAAGAAAAAAGCAATAAAATAAGCAAAAGATATTATAATACTCAAACAAAAGCTCAATATCAAGCCAAGGGCTTATAGTTACCATTGATTCCTCTTGGTGACACTTGTGTTAATTTGAGGCCACATTCCTTGAGAAAACCAATAGCTACTTCAACACTATCATCTGTTGGTCTTTCCAGGAGCAAAGTGAGCATCTCTAGGCATAAAACTTCATGTGCCTTAAACAGATTGAAGACATATGGAATTGAGAAAATACTTTTACATATATTAACCTACTATTGATAGTAATTTAAAAAATTAGCAAATCTGGTTTTTGCAGCAATAACATTATACACATGATGAGCAAAGTTTTTAGAATACATAGAGAAATACTCCAAATATGGGATATAATTTTTCTTTCACTCTCATTATGTCTGTTAAAAATTTCCAGGTGATTGTTCCAAAACTCTAAATTGATTACATTAAATACACCTATTTATTTCCAGAAGAAATAATTCTTATACATTATTATAATAGCTACAGGAAATGCCATAATTAGCTTCAAAATAGAAGTTAAAAATTAAACTACACTTTTTCTAATGCCCTTCTTCACAACCATAACTCTCTATATCCATTTCCTAGTTCGTTCTATCAGCAATTCTGCTATACAGCAAATAGTTCTTCAATTACATGAATAATTTTATCAGAAAATAACTGTGTCTGGAACTCAAGGACAGTTTGGAAACACTTCCCTCTTTTTTCTTTTTCTTTACTAAATAAAGTTATTGACACTCGCCATGTTCAAAAATTAATACTTAAAAACAATGCCAGGTAGGGTGCAAATAAAAGTCTATTGAGCAGCTTTGCTGTGAAAAGGAAGCATTTTCAAGACACTGTATGTATGCCTTCCTAAGGTCGGATACTTCTTTGAGATGGGGAAGGAAACAGTCTAAGTCTTAACTCAGGAAAATATCCTTTCCATTGAGCACAACATCAAAAATACATATTGCTTTTATTTTGTGGGATGGTGGGAAGGTCTAATAATCTTACATCAGTGATAAGAAAATATTGCCCTGGAGGAGGTGCAAGATGGTGGAGGAGTAGGAGACATAAATTTCGTCTGGTCTCAGGAATTCAGCTAGCTAGGTATCAAGCCATTCTAAACACCTAACGAACTCAACAGGAGATTGAAGAAAAGAATAGCAGCAACTCTCTGAACAGAAAAGCGACCACTTTCTGGAAGGTAGGACGTGCAGAGAAGTAAATCCGAGGCAATATACAGGAAGATAGACCACAGGGGAAGGGAGCCTCTGTCAGCCCCTATCGGCAAGTGATAGAGCAGAGGAGCACAAAATCAGAACTTCTAGAAGACTGCTCCGCTGAGGGACGTCGATCCAGTGGCTAAGTGGGAGGTGGAACCCTCGCTTGGACAGTGTGGTCTCAGGACCCTCAGTCACAGAAAGACCGGGGGTGCCTGAGTGCGGCAGAGCTCCCAGGTATCAGAGTGGGGAAGCCAGCTGCAGAGATAGAGCTGAGGAGCGGGCTCTCAGCTTGGGGCTGCCATAAACCGTGATCCGTGGCACAGTCGGGCCACTGCTCTTCCAGCAGGGATCCAACAAGCGGCAGATCTGGGGAGACCCCCCTTCTTCTCCCAGGAAAAGTGGCGTGGGAACACACCGCAGGAATCTGCTGGGTTTGGAGACTCCAAACGGGGTCTGGTGCCAGAGATGGTGGCTGGGTGAGCAGAGAGTGCCGCCAGAGACCAGGGAAATGGGAGTGATTGACTGATTTTCTCTGGGGGCTCACTGAGGAGTGGGGACCTGAGTTCTCGGCTCCTCCGGGCCAGAGATTGGGAGGACACCATTTTCACTCTCGTCCTCCAAAGCTGTACAGAAAGCTTGCAGGGAACAAAAGCTACCAAGAGCAAACCTGAGCAGATTACTTAGCCCGGCCCGGCAAGGGCAGGGCAATTCTGCCTCTGGCAAAGACATTTGAGAATCACTGCAACAGGTCCCTCCCCCAGAAGATCAGCAAGAACAGCAAGCCAAGACCAAGTTTACCGATCAATGAGAACAGCAGAACTCCAGCACTAGGGGAATACTGCACATAGAATTCATGGCTTTTTTTCCCACAATTCTTTAGTCTTTCAAAGTTAATTTTTTAAATTTTCTTTTCCTATTTTTTTTGAATTTTTCTTTTTCCCTTTTTCAACCAACATCTTATCAATTCCTTTTATAAAAATCTTTTTTCTTTTTTTTTTTTTTTTAAAGATTTTATTTATTTATTTGACAGAGAAAGACACAGCGAGAGAGGGAACACAAGCAGGGGGAGTGGTAGAGGGAGAAGCAGGCTTCCCACCAAGCAGGGAGCCCGATGCGGGGCTCGATCCCAGGACCCTGGGATCCTGACCTGAGCTGAAGGCAGCCGCTTAACCGACTGAGCCACCCAGGTGCCCCTAAAAAATCTTTTTTATTTTTCACTTTTAGAGTCATGTTCTATCCTTTCATTGCAGTTAACCTTATTTTTGGTCTCTCTATATAAGTTGTTCTCTCTTTAAAATTTTGGGATACAGTTTCTTCTGACAGACCAAAATATACTCTAAATCTCTAGTGTATGGCTTTGTTCTAGTCTCCTGCCTGATCACATTTTCTCCCTTTTATTTTTCTTTTTAATTTCTCTTCTTTCTTTTTCCAAACAACTTATCTTATCAATTCCTTTTATAAAATTTTTTATAATTTTCATCTTTACAGCCATATTCCATCAGTTCATCATATTTACCCTTATTTTTGTACATATATAAATTTTTCTTTCTTTAAAATTTTGGGAGGCACTTTCTTCTAACAGACCAAAATACGCCTAAAATCTAGTGTGTGGCACTGATCTATGCACCAGCCTGATCATAGTTGACCATATTCTTTTTTTTTTTTTTCTTTCTTTCCCTTTCTTTTCCCCTGGTTTCAGGTCTCTTCTGATTTGTTTTTCGGGAGTCACTGGTACCCTGTTAGCATTTTGTTCTCTCATTCATCTATTCTCCTCTGGACAAAACGACGGAAAAACTCACCTCAAAAAAAAAGAACAAGAGGCAGTACCGACTGCCAGGGACCTAATCAATACGCACATTAGTAAGATGTCGGAACTAGAGTTCAGAATAACGATTATAAAGATACTAGCTAGGCTTGAAAAAAGCATGGAAGATATTAGAGAAGCGCTTTCTGGAGAAATAAAATAAGAAATCTAACCCAGTCGAAATCAAAAAGGCTATTAATGACGTGCAATAAAAAATGGAGGCTCTAACTGCTAGGATAAATGAGGCAGAAGAGGGAATTAATGATATAGAATACCAATTAATGGAGAATAAAGAAGCTGAGAAAAAGAGAGACAAACCGCTACTGGATCACGAAGGCAGAATTTGAGAGATATGTGATACCATAAGATGAAACAATATTAGAATAATTGGGATCCCAGAAGAAGAACTAGGAGAGAGGGGGGCAGAAGGTATATTGGAGCAAATTATAGTGGAGAATTTCCCTAATTTGGGGAAGGAAACAGGCATCAAAATCCAGGAGGCACAGAGAACTCCCCTCAATATCAATAAAAATAGGTCAACACCCCGACATCTAATAGTAAAACTACAAGTCTCACAGACAAAGAGAAAATCCTGAAAGCAGCTCAAGACAAAAGGTCTGTGACCCACAATGGTAGAAACATTAAATTGGCAGCAAACCTATCCACAGAGACCTGGCAGACCAGAAAGGACTGGCATGATATATTCAGAGCACTAAATGAGAAATATATGCAGCCAAGAATACTATATCCAGCTAGGCTGTCATTGAAAATACAAGGAGAGATCAAAAGCTTCCAGGACAAACAAAAACTAAAAGAATTTGCAAACACCAAACCAGCCCTACGAGAAATATTGAAAGGGGTCCTCTAAGCAAAGAGAGAGCCTAAAAGTAACATAGACCAGAAAGGAATAGAGACAATATACAGTAACAGTCATTTTACAGGCAATACAATGGCACTAAATTCATATCTTTCAATAGTTACCCTGAATGTAAATGGGCTAAATGCCCCAATCAGAAACACAGGGTAGCAGATTGGATAAAAAAACAAGACCCATCTATATGCTGCCTGCAAAAGACTCATTTTAGACCCAAAGACACTTCCAGATTGAAAGTGAGGGGGTGGAAAACCATGTACCATGTTAATGGACATCAAAAGAAAGCTGGGATGGCAATCCTTCTATCAGACAAATTAGATTTTAAACCAAACACTCTAATAAGAGATGAGGAAGGACACTATATTCTACTTAAAGGGTCTATCCAACAAGAAGATCTAACAACTGTAAATATCTATGCCCCTAACATGGGAGTAGCCAGTTATATAAGCCAATTAATAAAAAAATCAAAGAAACACATTGACAACAATACAATAATAGCAGGGGACTTCAACACCCCCCCCTCACTGAAATGGACAGATCATCTAAGCAAAAGATCAAGAAGGAAATAAAGGCTTTAAATGACACACTGGACCAGATGGACTTCACAGATATATTCAGAACATTCCATCCCAAAGCAACAGAATATACATTCTTCTCTAGTGCCCATGGAACATTCTCCAGAATCGATCACATCCTAGGTCACAAATCAGGTCTCAACCAGTACCAAAAGATTGGGATCATTCCCTGCCTATTTTCAGACCACAATGCTTTGAAACTAGAACTCAATCACAAGAGGAAAGTCGGAAAGAACTCAAATACATGGAGGCTACAGAGCATCCTACTAAAGAATGAATGGGTCAGCCAGGAAATTAAAGAAGAATTTTAAAAAATTTCATGGAAACCAATGAAAATGAAAACACAACTGTTCAAAATCTTTGGGATGCAGCAAAGGCAGTCCTACGAGGAAAGTATATAGCAATACAAGCCTTTCTCAAGAAATAAGAAAGGTCTCAAATACACAACCTAATCCTACGCCTAAAGGACCTGGAGAAAGAACAGCAAATAAAGCCTAAACCCAGCAGGAAAAGAGAAAGAATAAAGATCAGAGCAGAAATCAATGAAATAGAAACCAAAAGAACAGTACAACAGATCAACAAAACTAGGAGCTGGTTCTTTGAAAGAATTAGTAAGATTGATAAACCCCTGGCCAAACTTATCAAAAAGAAAAATGACCCAAATAAATAAAAGCATGAATGAAAGAGGAGATATCACAACCAACACCAAGAAATACAAACAATTATAAGAGCATATTATGAGCAACTATATGCAAGCAAATTAGATAATCTGGAAGAAATGGATGCATTCCTAGAGATGTATCAACTACCAAAACTGAATGAGGAAGAAATGGAAAACTGAACAGACCTATAACCACTAAGGAAATTGAAGCAGTCATCAAAAATCTCCCAACAGGGGCACCTGGGTGGCTCAATCATTAGGCGTCTGCCTTCGACTCAGGTCATGATCCCAGGTTCCTGGGATCGAGCCCCACATCAGGCTCCCTGCTCTGCGGGAAGCCTGTTTCTCCCTCTCCCACTCCCCCTGCTGTGTTCCCTCTTCCGCTGTGTCTCTCTCTGTCAAATAAATAAAATCTTAAAAAACAAAACAAAACAAAAAACAAACATAAAAATCTCCCAACAAACAAGAGCCCAGGGCCAGATGGCTTCCCAGGGGAATTCTACCAAACACTTAAAGAAGAATTAATACTTATTCTTCTGAAACTGTTTGAAAAAATAGAAATGGAAGGAACACTTCCAAACTCATTTTATGAGGCCAGCATTACCTTGATCCCAAAATCAGACAAAGACCCCATCAAAAAGGAGAATTACAGACCAGTATCCCTGAACATGGATGCAAAAATTCTCACCAAAATACTAGCCAACAGGATCCAGCAGTACATTAAAAGGATTATTCACCATGACCAAGTGGGATTTATTCCTGGGCTGCAAGGCTGGTTCAACATCCACAAATCAATCAATGTGATACAATACATTAATTAAAGAAACAACAAGAACCATATGATCCTCAATGGATGCAGAAAAAGCATTTGACGAAGTACAGCATCCTTTCTTGATCAAAACTCTTCAGAGTATAGGGATAGAGGGCACATACCTCAATACCATAAAAGCCATCTATGAAAAACCCACAGCGAATATCATTCTCAATGGGGAAAAAGAGTGCTTTCCCCCTAAGGTCAGGAACACAGCAGGGATGTCCACTATCACCACAGCTATTCAACATAGTACTAGAAGCCCTAGCAACAGCAATCAGACAACAAAAAGAAATAAAAGGCATCCAAATCGGCAAAGAAGAAGTCAAACTCTCACTCTTTGCAGATGATATGATATTTTATGTAGAAAACCCCAAAGACTCCACCCCAAAACTGCTAGAACTCATATAGGAATTCAGTAAAGTGGCAGGATATAAAATCAATGCACAGCAATCAGTGGCATTTATATACAAAAACAACAAGACAGAAAAAAGAGAAATTAAGGAGTCGATCCCATTTACAATTGCACCCAAAACCGTAAGATACCTAGGAATAAATCTAACCAAAGAGGCAAAGGATCCGTACTCAGAAAACTATCAATACTCATGAAAGAAATTGAGGAAGACACAAAGAAATGGAAAAACGTTCCATGCTCATGGATTGGAAGAACAAATATTGTGAAGAGGTCAATGTTACCTAGAGCAATCTACACATTCAATGCAATCCCTATCAAAATAAACTCAACTTTTTTCAAAGAAATGGAACAAATAATCCTAAAATTTGTATGGAACCAGAAAAGACCCCGAATAGCCAGAGGAATGCTGAAAAAGGAAAGCAAAGCTGGGGGCATCACAATTTTGGACTTCAAGCTCTATTACAAAGCTGTCATCATCAAGACAGTATGGTACTGGCACAAAAACAGACACACAGATCAATGGAACGGAATAGAGAGCCCAGAAATGGACCCTCAACTCTATGGTCAACTAATCTTCGACAAAGCAGGAAAGAATGTCCAATGGAAAAAAGACAGTCTCCTCAACAAATGATGTTGGGAAAATTGGGACAGCCACATGCAGAAGAATGAAACTGGACCATTTCCTTACACCACACACAAAAATAGACTCAAAATGGATGAAAGACCTAAATGTGAGACGGGAATCCATCAAAATCCTAAAGGAGAACACAGGCAGCAACCTCTTCGACCTCAGTCGCAGCAACTTCTTCCTAGAAACATCGCCAAAGGCAAGGGAAGCAAGGGCAAAAATGAACTATTGGGACTTCATCAAGATAAAAAGCTTTTGCACAGCAAAGGAAACTGGACAACAAAACCAAAAGACAACCGACAGAATGGGAGAAGATATTTGCAAATGACATATCAGATAAAGGGCTAGTATCCAAAATCTATAAAGAACTTATCAAACTCAACACCCAAAGAACAAATGATCCAATCAAGAAATGGGCAGAAGACATGAACAGACCTTTCTCCAAAGAAGACATCCAAATGGCCAACAGACACATGAAAAAGTGCTCAATATTGCTCGGCATCAGGGAAATCCAAATCAAAACCTCAATGAGATATCACCTCACACCAGTCAGAATGGCTAAAATTAACAAGTCAGGAAACGACAGATGTTGGCGAGGATGTGGAGAAAGGGGAACCCTCCTACACTGTTGGTGGGAATGCAAGCTGGTGCAGCCACTCTGGCAAACAGTATGGAGGTTCCTCAAAAAGTTGAAAATAGAGCTACCCTACAACCCAGCAATTGCACTATTGGGTATTTACCCCAAAGATACAAATGTAGTGATCTGAAGGGGTATGTGCACCCCAATGTTTATAGCAACAATATCAACAATACCCAAACTATGGAAAGAGCCAAGATGTCCATCAACAGATGAATGGATAAAGAAGAGGCGGTATAGATATACAATGGAATATTATGCAGCCATCAAAAAACCTGAAATCTTGCCATTTGCAACAACGTGGATGGAACTAGAGGGTATTATGCTAAGCGAAATAAGTCAATCAGAGAAAGACATATATTATAGGTCTCACTGATATGAGGAATTCTTAATATCAGGAAACAAACTGAGGGTTGCTCGAGTGGTGGGGGGTGGGAGTCATGGGGTGGCTGGGTGATAGACATTGTGGAGGTATGTGCTATGGTGAGTGCTGTGAATTGTGTAAGACTGATGAATTATAGACCTGTATCTCTGAAACAAATAATACATTATATGTTTAAAAAAAAAAGACAGTAGGAAGGGAAAAATGAAGTGGGGGAAATTGGAGGGGGAGATGAACCATGACAGACTATGGACTCTGAGAAACAAACTGAGAGTTCTAGAGGGGAGGGTGGGGGGGATGGGATAGCCTGGTGATGGGTATTAAAGAAGGCATGTATTGAATGGAGCACTGGGTGTTATACACAAAGAATGAATCATGGAACACTACATCAAAAACTGATGATGTAATGTATGGTGATTGACATAACATAATAAAAGAAAATTTAATAAATACATAAATAAAGAAAGAAAAAAAAAAAAGAAAATATTGCCCTGTACCATAGTTGGAAGATCTAAAATATTTAACATTTTAACTGGTTTGTGGCAATGCCAAAAATATTTTCAATATAAATGAATATACATTCAAAAACTAAAACTTACTTTCTGTGCTTTCACATAGATATGTGAAATTAAGTCTCTGTGGTCTTAAGAAGCAAGTTATCATTGTAATAATTTAACTCATTAGGTTAATATGTAATGGGTTTTTAAGAATGAACATGGGGACGCCTGGGTGGCTCAGCTGTTAAGCGTCTGCCTTCGGCTCAGGTCATGATCCCAGGTTCCTGGGATCGAGTCCCACATCGGGCTCCCTGCTCCACAGGAAGCCTGTTTCTCCCTCTCCCACTCCCCGTTGCTTGTGTTCCCTCTCTCGCTGTGTCTCTCTCTGTCAAATAAATAAATAATCTTAAAAAAAAAAAAGAATGAACATGGTAAAGAATTTTATGTAGGAAAGAATTAAAATATTAATGGTGATAAGATCAAATGTGACTTCAAAATTCTTCCTCTCATATATAATTAAACATAATATACATCTGAAGGAAATCTTTGAGTATGAATAAGAGCAATTCTATTATTTTTAAGTTTAAATAGAAGCTAACTCAAAACTCTCAAATAAAAAAAAAAAACCTCTGAAATAGATCAATGGATGAATACAAAATAAGCACAAAACCTGAACAAAATTACTTGCAATTAAAACAGATTAAAATTACTTCATTTATATTTTATAAACTGATTATTTTTTTTAAGATTTTATTTATGTATTTGACAGAGAGAGTGAGAGAGATCATGAGCGGGGGTGGCGGGGAGAAGCAGGCTCCCCGCTGAGCAGGAAGCCCGATGCGGGGCTTGACCTCAGGACCCTGAGATCATGACCTGAGCTGCAGGCAGACGTTTAATTAACTGAGCCACCCAGGCACCCCTATAAACTGATTCTAAGAATATATGACTATATACCATGTTGTTGAAGAGGCAGTATGTTTTTTATAGAATATCAGTATTACATTCTCATGAACAACAGGTACAGGAGAAAAGAGTGGAAGAACTATCAACTTTATTGTCTTATAAATATGATTAAATTACATTCTTTGAAGGAATAATTTGTAGTTGAATAACTATGTATAGTATTAAGAGTCAGATTAATTTGATAAAATACTTGTTCTGGGTTTCTTTTTATATTTAAGAATATTAAACACATTTATTACGTTTTAAAACTCAAATATCATCCAAGATACTTTTCTGAAAGACTATAAGGCAAAACAAAGAGAGATGTGTCAGTGAAGTGGCATCAAGCATGTGATGTCTAATGCCAGTGAATGGTACCAAATTTTGAGAATTACTTACCACATTTTGGTTAATAAGGTGTGCCACAAATTTTGAAGCAGTAAGACAGAGTTGCTGAAAAGTGAAGGTAGAGAAAATTTTAATCTATAAACTAAAACCATTTTTATTTAACTACTAAATCTATAGTTTATTTACACATTCTATTTAAAATATGTAGCACATAAGGATAATTTTTATAATATAAGAAAGTTACAAGATAAAAACTATTACATGCGAAATAGTGTCATTTCTGGTTAAATTATTACAATTCTACAGTTATAGCCATCAGTTTTGTAGCTCATCACTAGTGGCCAGAGGTATTTAATGGAACAAAAAAATGTTCTCATGAAATGCAGTTTTTAAAAAGAATTCCTATGTGGCAATCAACATTGCTTATCACTGTTGAAACTAGATTATTAGTCTGTCCCTATGTGGCAGTCGACTTATAAGCCCATCATATATACCTTATCATTTCTTCGATAGCCTTTTCGGAAATTAAGAATTAGCCTCTTGAGGATTAATTCTCCGATCTGTGGAAATTTTGAGTTGATAATTGCCACTAACGCTGCATAAACATGGGTGAAGATTGGAGAAGCACTCTGAGCTTGCAAAACAGATCTGGACAGCAGGCCTCTGTTTAAAAAAGAAAAAAAAAAGTCAACAAGGTTCCACTTCTAACTCATTTTGAAATGAGCACGGTTCTATATGTATTTGATAAGGGGAGAGATGCAAAGTTATGTCCAGCAATTAATGACAAATAATAATTGGACTGCCAAAAGGCAGTAAAACAATATCTTAATAGTTTTCAGGTTGAACTTTGACAACTGAATCAACAGAGTAGAAAATGAGAAAAGAAAACCCAGCCTATAAATTGTGAGATCATAAGCAACCCATATAGCCTCTGGTGCTTTCTGACTAAAATGGGAGAGCTCTACCTACCTACTTTTGAGGACAGAAGCTGCCTCTTGGTCAACTTTCTATATCCCCACAACATGTTACATCTTACTTTATATGCCCCCTCACCAATGTTTTGGAGATGATAAATCAGGGTCATGTGAAATGACACAGGAAAACATCCCTTAAATTTCAAAATAAAAAAATAGAATATAAAATATTTCTATTTCCTGATCCTTTTTTAAATCACAACCAATTAAAAGTACAAAAAAAATGACTGTCATTCTTTTCTGCTTTTCTAAGATTTATCACTGATCTTTCTTATTTCTTTTACATTCTCACTTTGCTTTCATTAGAAATTAAAATTATATATAAATAAAATGTTCATTATTCCTTATGGGTTTAAATTATTGGAAGTATTCAGTAAACAAATGTCTGCACAAAAATCAATATGTGACATCAAACCTTCTCAAAAAGCAAAAACTCTGCAACAATTTCTAATGGTGAAGTACAAGTTATTTGTTAATAGCTTACATTTTTACAAGAAATGCATTTTAAATAACTATTCTCGACTACTACTGAAGTAGCACAATAAATTAATGACTATTGCCCATGTAGATATTATGTTCATTTGAAAAATTGCTATGAAATACTTTAAATAAAATAGCTGATGCTTACCTTCCTCTAACTATGTTTTCTTGAAGAAGTTCTTGAATAATAATACCTATATTAGAAATGTTGACTTTGTTGATAAGACCATTGATTGACTTCTTTAGGGCCTCCCAGCTCATCCTCTGGTACGCTAAGCTAAAAAGAATTGATTTTAAGAAAGATGAAAACTTAATCAACAATTACAATAACTGGAGATTATAATAAGAACATAAAAAATACTTGGGAGTTTCTCCGCTTTATTTTCACATTATTTTCACAAAATGACCTCAAAGTGCAGTAAAATATATGACTATATGAATATCTAAACCTACATTTGATGTTCTGTACATATACTCAACTACAGATCACTTCTCTTTAATAACATAATAAAATTATATAAGAATATATAAGGATAATGTTTTGTTCTTATGTCCATGCATATTGGAAATTATAACATTCCTTTATTAGATTCAATACGTACTTATTTTACATTATAATACTTCATTTAGTTAAAATTGTCTTTAAAGAAAATATTTTAAAATGACAACTTTAAAAATTTTTAAATTATAATATGAAATACCCAAGTATAAGCCATAAAAAGGAGATTTTTATTACATCCTTTCTTATAAAAGCATAAGGAAAACAAAATTAAATATTTTAAACTGTAAAGAAATGGTGATAAATACAGGAAAAGGAAAAGTCATATGAAATCATGGGGCTGAAAGACTGTTGTATTTTAAAGAACATCTCTGCATTTGGCAGTAGTCCCACATCTGTATTACTTGTTTTTTAACTTAGATCTTAGGCAAATAGCCTAACTGGGTTTGTTTAGGTTGAACTTGATAACACCTAAGGTCTTTTAAAGCTCTATAATTCTATGCTTTTTATATTTATTTCTCTGTGGAATATGATTTCAGCTGCAGAAAGTCTTTATCTTTTTCATCTTCCTTATACTTCTCTGGCAGTCTGGTGAAGCTGAAGGGCTTCTTGAAATAATACATATAAATATATAGGATTACAAAGGATACCAATCATATTTAAATAGTTTTCAAAGCATGAAAAGAAAAAAAAGTTTGATATAGAATTCTATGTGCTTCATTAAATAACAAGAAGTGGTGGTAGGCCTAATAACTTCTTTAATTTCCAAGTAGCATGGCCATTGAGTAATATGTTAAGATATTTGCAGCAAATACTTTGTTAATACTATGGTCTCCTGCCTATAGTCCCGAGAGAAAGAGATGCGAAATTTTAGTTAGAGGTAAGTAAAAATAAAGATGCAAGTTTTTCTTTCCATTTACATTCATGGATGGCTAGATTCTACCTATGGACCTCTGGAAGGTCTGTAGGTTAAGGGGCCCTGTTCTGGAGTGGTATGCCAAGGGAGAGGTGGTGAGAGCAGTCTACCCTGGTGGGGAAGAGTATTTTATCACTGACATTGTCCTCAGCAGACGGTAAGGACAAAAAGCAGACTGATTTGCAGTTAAATTATATTGTTTTTAAATTCCCTCTAAATCATGTATTCCCTAAATGGCTGCATTTGAGGTGGGTGCAACATTTCCAGTGGGCCCCAACCCCACCCTTTGGTATGCTACTATTTGAGAAAAAAGATCAATGGCTTAAAAACTAGCCTAATTAATAAGATTGCTCATACATAATCACAATCTCTCCTATTAAACTTCGGTAAAACAAACAAACAAAAACTACAACCAAGCACAATTTTATTTCCTAATTAAGAAGCCTACAATTCCCCTGACTTAGTATATACTAAAAGTAAAGTCTATAGACTTCTCTTAAGAGACTTCTACTTCTCCTTGTCCCCTTTACAGCCTATGAGCAGATTTAAACTGTATATAAAATTATCTTCCAGAAATCTATGTAAAATTATGTATACTGGGGACTCTTCTCCACCCACTTTATATATAAGGAAGTAAGACTTGGCTTAATAACAATGTTTCTGTCTATAATCAGGATTGCTTTGGACTGGATTGGAGACAGTGACTCACTAAAGCTGCCACTCCTGCCTCCTCCAGAGAGCAGGGAGCAGAAGGCCTACGTGCTCATGAAGCTCCTGCTAACCACAGAAGCCATCTCCAAATCCCTTCTAAATGTAACACTGCAGGCATTACTACCATGTACTGGAATATTACACATACAGAGAAACTTACTAATTAGTTTTAAATTTAATGTCATCTAATGTCCCTTGCTAGCTCATAAATTTTATTTCAAATATTTATACTTTATATAAATGACATTTCTACTGCAAGCTAATTCATGAACCAAATTTAGATTTCATTTATCTAAGGGTCTCAAGTACTTTCAAGTTGCCACTAAAATACCTATGGAAGATGTGGGAATACTCTTTCGTGGCTCACCTGGAAATCTGTTTTTCTTAAAGTGTAGCTACCTTCTATCCCAATCTTTTTATTACCTAACTGGCAACTGAGTGACCATTTCAATCTTGGACCATACTTTTCGTAATTATCCTCTCATTCCGCTAGAGAAAAAGGTCCTGAACACTTAGCGATACTTTCATATATAGCTCCTCTCAATTATTTCGAAAAGGAAGTGAAGGTATTTTGAGGGTGAGTGTTCATCAATGAATTTTGATTGTTTGCCTTAGCAAAAATTACAGTCTAAGATGGTAAGGTCAAAGAAAACTATGGAGTAGGTAAGATTCAACCTCATTTCATAGTCAACTTCATTTCATAGATTAGTATAGGGGTTGGCAAACTACATCCATGACTCAAATGCAGCCTACAGCCCATTTTTGTAAAGAAAGCTTCACTGGAAGAGAGCCACACTCATTTGTTTATATATTACCTATGGCTATATTCACTACTACAGCAGAGTTGAGTATCCGCAACAGACACAGAACACTGCACAAGCCTAAAATATTTCTTGTCTGGCCTTTTACAGAAAAAGTTTGCCAACTCCTGGTTTGGTACAACTGGAAAGATCGATTTGAGTTCTAAAATATCAATAATTCTCTTATCTATGAAAAATGGACACTACTAATAGGCATGCATACAACTATAAGAGGAATAGTTTGAAAATAGTAAAAATAAAAGATCTTTCTTCAAACCCTTTTGATTTATTCATGTAAAAAAATAAGCTGAGCTAATGTCAGGGCAAATAGTAAGTAGAGCTCCAAGGAAGCTTATGGAGTAAAGAGGAGAAATCTAATTTGAGGTCTCTACCACTGTGGACTAATAATGTAAACTCTCAATAGCCAATGTTAATTAGACCATAGTTGACTTTTTTTCAACGATATTGTATATTCAGTGATATTGACATGCCTGTTTTTATCTGTGATCTGCTCTTGCATCATTCTGAGCTTTGCAGGAGGAATATATGCTCCACCGGTGCGAGTAAGAAGAGGATCCAGCTCATCTTTCTTCTTCTTTGCAGTAGGTTCATCCTGAGCAGAGGAACTCTGGGTTACTGATGGTTCTGGGCTTCTTCTCCCAGGAGATGGGGATTTCCGAGACCTTTTACGATCCATATCTCTTTCTCTTTCTCTGCGTTTTTCTCGGTCCCTACTTCTGTAATATTAAAAATTTTTTTAACGGAGAAAAGGCAATATAAATTACATTCTTAAATGAGCAAAATACAAAATGAGCAAGACCATTTGCAGGCCACAAATTCAGACAAGGGAAACTGGTCGGGAATGATGAGGAAGTGCTTCATAGAGAAAATGTAACTTAAACTAGGGCTTCAAGACTTGACAGAATTTATACTGGGGCAAGGGTGGGAAGGTGGAGGAGGAAGGAGGGCATTTTGCAACTAGTGCAGAATAGAGTAACTACTGAAAAAGGGAGCAGGAGTGTTCAAGCTAATAAGTAGTATTGTCAGGAAACAATAAAGAATCATGTATAATGGTAGTTGGAAAGATGAGTTTGAGTCAGACTATGAAATCTTAAAAGACAAGCAAAAGACTAAGTTTTTTATAATGGAGTTGGTGGAGAATCACTAATAGTTTCTGAGTGTGATAGTGACATGAAAACAGTGTTTAAAGAAGACAATTTAGCTTGCAATGTACACAATATACTGTATAAAGAAGAAATCAGAGTTTATCTCCAATAATGGCAATTTAGGAATAAAAATGTCCTAAAAAACTGTAACATTTGAAATTATTTCTTGATAAAACTGGCATTTAAAACCTCAGAATATCAAAAACATCTGGTTATTTGAGACAATGTGAAAAAAAAATCAACTATTTTCCAGCTATAACTCTTCCTGACTACTATAGGTGAGTATCTTTTCTTAAGCTAACATTTTTAAAACAATCAAGGTATTATTCTCTGAAACTATCAAGAACTAATGGGAAGAGTAAATTCCTGCTTTTTTAGAGGAGTTTGTCCACTTAGCTGTTTTTTTACCTATACTACCTTGGAAATTTAGATCATTCTGCTCATGCTTTGTGCAACCATTAGTTAAATGAATACAGTAAATAAAAACAAGTGTCATTTATCATGATTACCAGGAAACTGCTTGATAGATTTTAGCTAGATCTAGGGGGGATGTACTTGAGATGGTCTGTCTTAATATATAGTAATACAACTTACAAAAAGAGGGAGGGTCACCTAGCCAGGTAGATCAGAGGAGCTGTTTTGAAATGGAAGTATACCACTGTATACGCGAAGACAGAGTGAACAGAAGGGAAAAAAAGTGGTTCCAAATAGACACCCCAATTAGTCACAAAGGCAGGTGCACTGCAATCTAGGCAGTGATTTGCAACTGAGTTGCTTCTTATTGTGGGTGTAGTATGTTCTAAGAGAGTAGCTACAGCAGGGATTTACTGGCATTGGTTACGATTCTTCTGAGAAACACTAGGTGAGACTGCTAGCTGGCTGATAAAATTGCATCTTTACAATTTCACTGTTTGTTCCTTTAGAGTGTAGAAGTAATAGAGTCTTCTTCAAGTCTAAATAGAAATATTTCTCTTCCAATGCTTTCATACTGTTAGCTTTTATTTTCTACACAATACAAAGCCTGCTTACTTTACAGTGTGACTGTATGGATCAAATTAGACTTATGTACACACACTGGACCAAACACAGTTACAATGGAGTAATACAGTCAGAGATTATGGAAGAAAACATGGGCTTTGGAGTCAAAATTGAGTTCAAATCCCACTTTCATTGTCTACCAGATGGGCAATTGCAACCTCAGGTAAGTTATATAATCACTTCAAACCCACTTCACTTTTTTTTTTGCAAATTGTGAAAAAAATACTATCTAGTTTGTAAGAATTTTAACAGTATTTGAGAAAGAGTGCAGAATGCTTAGCTCACCAATTATGGTGGCAGTAGTTGGTTCTCCCAAGGGGTCATTATGGTGACAGCAGATGAGCCTGGCTTTTGGAAGTTAATTTAATCTGACATTTTAGTTTTGGGTATATATTAGAAAGTAAGTAGTGAGAAGGAAACTTAGGCTGCAGATATCAAATAATGTGATTAGCTCCAAACTGCACAGGAGTGCCATCAAAATTTTAGTGGGGGTACAGTCTTGATAGTCACAGAGTGGGTAATATGAGGGAGATATCAAAAGGATACAGACCTTCGTGAACAATAAAATACAGTAGACAAGTTTTTGAAACTGGACGACCTAATAGGGTGGGTAGTCAAATTTTCCAAGGCTCAAGAAAGAATAATTTATATTAGGTAAAAACTAGATTGGTAACTTCATTCTCACTGTCCCAGTGCCATCATGCAGGAAAGTATATTTTGATCACTCTATGTCATATAATAAAAACGACTTTCATTCAGTAAGGAATCTCAAAAACTCACACTGCCAAGTCCTCATGCAGTACAGTACCATATAATGAATAAGAGCTTAGGCTCAATGTCAGACTGACCTGGACCTTCCACTGACATGCTTTTAAAACACAAACACATGACTTAAATCCTCTCTGCCTCAGTTTCTTCATCTATAAAACACACAACAGTATCTACTTCATATATTTACAGCAATAAGGAGTTAATTCACATGAAATCCTTATTAGAAAGCCTGGCACCTAAGAACATCCATGTAATGCTAGCTGCTATTATGTTTTTTTTATGAAGCATAAAGAAAATTTAAACAAATATGATTTTTCTATAGTTAAAATTTCCAATACTAACCGTGACTCCATGCTACTATCATAAGAACGCCCTCTTCTTGAATGCTCATATTCTGACCTGCTGTAATCAAAGTGATCTCTATCCCGAGGGGATCTTTCTTGTTCTGCATATCTAACACATTAAATAAGAAAACCAAAGTTATAAGATGAAAACTACATGTTATAAATACCTAGGAAAATCATATATTGGTAATGCTAAAGCAACTCTATGACTGAACGATGTCTTACTGAACTTTTTAACAAACAGCTTATTTTGTTGACACCATTCATTTAGTCTTGATTATAAAAGCTTTCAGCTTGTGTACAAAACAACTACTGGAGTTCACGTAACCAAACCTGTCATCATGATTCACATTGTCTTAAGCAAAAGATAGATATCTGGATATCATATATAGTTGGCATGAAAAAAGCCCACGCTGCAAAGGACTCCTTTTGCCTAGTTGGCACATTTTATTAAAGCACTGAACAAATGAGACCAATGTCATTGGTTGGCCTCCATAAAGAACAGTTTAACTTATTCCAAGAGACATCCAAAAAACATTAGCTATTCTTTTTTTTTTTTTAGCTATTATTCTTGAAGCTGCTTTACTGAATAGCCATGAGAAAGGATTGAAATTATTAGCAAACAAGGATGACAGTATAAGATCTGCCATTTGAACTTTAAATATTAATAAAGTCAGAGAACCTTAAGAGAAGTTAAATACATACACACATAATAAATATACACAGTAACATATATAGTGATTCATATTTTATATATAATTAACCTTTTGAACAGTTGCAGGTTTGAATTGTGTGGGTTTAGCAAATTTTTTCTAATATAGCACAGTATTATAAATGTATTTTTCTCTTCTTTATGAATTCATTAATAACATTTTCTTTTCTCTAGCTTACTTTGATGAAAGGTACTAAGTAGTTGCAAACCATTACAATTAATTCAACGTCCATGAAACAAAAGTTTTTAGAGACAACAGAGTGAAATAAGAAGAAAGTACATATGGGGTAAGGAACAGATGAGACCACTGAAAGGAAGTTTAGAGGATGCTTCTCCCTAAGTGAAATAACTGAAGTACTACTATGAATGCCTGATGAACATTAACAGCAGTATTTCTAGATCTTTCATCTTAACACAATTATAAGGTATGATACATATATATAAAAGTATTCTAAAATCTATAAAGAGCTATGTAAAGGATAGTAGTAACAGTAAAAGCAGCACTTCAAAATAAGGTGATTTCAACTCAGTTTTCCATTTTATAAACTTTCATTTAGTGTTTTATTCAATATTAATTTCATTTTATAAAACTTTTATGTAGTATTTGACATGCAGAAATTATTCTCACCTCCAAAATTAGATAAAATCTAGATTTACTAGAAACTCCTAGAACAGTCATTCAAGAATGATTTGTCCTCAAGCTTATTCAAGTAATATTGTAAAACCATCTAAAAGAAATTGTTCAGGGGCGCCTGGGTGGCTCAGTTGGTTAAACGACTGCCTTCGGCTCAGGTCATGATCCTGGAGTCCCGGGATCGAGTCCCGCATCGGGCTCCCTGCTCAGCAAGGAGTCTGCTTCTCCCTCTGACCCTCCTCCCTCTCATGCTCTCTGTCTCTCATTCTCTCTCTCTCAAATAAATAAATAAAAAATCTTTAAAAAAATAAAAATAAAAATAAAAGAAATTGTTCATCCTAACATGAAGAACCTAAGAGCTAAATAATTTTTTAAAACTTATTACAAAAAATTTAAATTTCAGGAGCACATAAAATTATTTACCTGTCTTCTGGAGAGGAGGTCCTCTGATAGGAATTATAGTTTTCCCTTCTGTCATGACCAGAAGAATGCTTTTAAAGGGAAAAAAAAGAGGGGGAGGGGTTATTTAAAAAATTATGACAAAACACACAGAAAATGAAATATGTATCTCAGAAAATTACAAGTGCTTTACAAATTATTTCAGAACTTTTTTTAATCATAAGAATAATTCATGTTATCTAAACAGTATATAAGATAAAACAAAATTTTCAGACCCTCCAAGGTGAATATCTGTGGCATATAATCTGTTTTCACTATGGACCACACAGTTTTTTTAACCAAAAAAAATTCAAGGTAGAAGAAAATAATTCTCAAATTTTCGATACCACTTAGTTGATATTTTATTCTTATGTATTAGGTTTTAAATATATAGAACATCATTTTTATAAACACCTTCTCTTGGTGAAAAACAAGAGCAAAGCTTTTTCTTGGTGAAAAACATGACTAAGGGCCAGAGATCTAGCAAGAAGAGTTCACTCCTGTGGTTATATCAAAGTCTTATAATACTGCACTTATTTTCCTGGATCTACTTTGTCTTATAAAAACCACTTCAGGGGCGCCTGGGTGGCTCAGTCATTAAGCATCTGCCTTCGGCTCAGGTCATGATCCCAGGGTCCTGGGATCGAGCCCCACATCGGGCTCCCTGCTCCGCGGGAAGCCTGCTTCTCCCTCTCCCACTCCCCCTGCTTGTGTTCCATCTCTCGCTGTGTCTCTCTCTGTCAAATAAATAAATAAAATCTTTAAAAAAAAAAAAAAAAACACTTCAGTTCAGGTTACTAAAATGGGCGCCTAGTGGCTCAGTCGTTAAGCATCTGCCTTCAGCTCGGGTCGGGACCCCAGGGTCCTAGGATCGAGCCCTGCATCGGGCTCCCTGCTCTGCGGGAAGCCTGCTTCTCCCTCTCCCTCTGCCACTCCCCCTGCTTGTGTTGCCTGTCTCACTGTGCCTCTCTCTGTCATCTTTAAATCTGGATAAAATAAACAGCTAGAAGAAACTGACTCTAATATATTTATGAAAATTCATTTTCACTTTCAGGAAACATTGTGTGAATGTCTGATATGTATGGCACTATGTTAGACTCTACAGAGTTGAAAAACATGATTTGTGAGAGAGAGTTCCTATACCAAATCCTTTAAAAAATAACAAGACATACAAATAAATAACTCCACTGTAACACGAAACTGAAGAGAAATGTCACAGAGACAGAGATATGAACTATCCAGTTGGAGAACAAATCTTAATTTAAAAATCCAAATACAGTTAAAAAGCCAAAATATTTATCTCTGTAAATAGGTAAATTTTTTATATCACTGATGAACATTCACATTGACCAGCCTTTTTTTTTTTACGGATTAAAATAATTTTAACTAACCTAAGTATAAGAAAGGAAAAATAGTATGTTTTTAAAAAGTAGCTTTACCTTAAAAGCTAAGAAAAAGGAAATCAAATAATGAACAACTTGTTCTACATATTTACATGCTTGCCTCCTTAATGGGAAAAAGAAACGTTTAAAAATAGAAAATTATATTGCACAGAAATGTAAATAAGCTCCAACTTCCTCTTATTTTATGACTAATTAACAGCAGTTTGAGTCTAACATTGTCACAAGTAAACTGCCAAACAGTCTCATTAACTATTGAATTTTTCTAATACTATATACTACCTAGACTGATTGGTATAGGTGAATAAGCATGTGATCAAAATTTGTAATTTATGGTAGCCGTAGTTTGGCTGCTATTTTGTACTGAATGCAACCATCTCAAAATCCTGTTTCTAATGTATATAATAAAGTTGTAAAAATTATTTCACTTAGCAACACAATGAGGCAAAATTGTTCAATATGTATGACACAGTTTTCTATAAAACTTGACTTCAAGATCCCAAACCAATATGGAGCACAAGACTCATTCGATTCATGGCAACACCAAACACAGTATTTACTGATCATTTAAGACATAGCCCTTCCTGTGTAGACACTCTGGAGGATACAAAAGTTAGGAAAAACCCTCAAGGAATTTATGATCTTACGGTAGAAAGATAGCTGTAAACATTCCCACAATTAAACATATCAGATTATAAGTTCCTGAGAGAGCCTAAGATAAAAGAAGAAAAAGAGGAGAAAGAGAAGGATGAGGGGAAGGAGAGGAGGAAGGAAGAGAGAGAGACAGAGAACAGAACTGCAGTCTACTTTCTCTTTTACAAGGCACAGCAATTATTTTGATTACATTAGGGAGAAGGCCTCAGTGCTGTGCTAATGATTTTTAACACATCTCCGCAACATCTGTTGTAAGCAAGGGGGGAAACCAAAAATATTGAAGTCATGAATCATGATTTCGTTAATGTGACTGACCCACACAGAAGTGTTAACAGGACATCTTGAGTAGGGAACAATAACTGAATACTGAGGGATGAAGGTAGGTAGAGGGGGATTTGAACTAGGCTTTGGTAGATGAACAGGATTTCACTAAGTAAAATATCATTTTGAGATACGATTCAAATAATAACCTGAATTTTCCTATTTCCTTTATCACAGAATCCAGATTATAAATCAGAGTAGGCATTGAAAATAATATATTGTCAAAATTACCTTTAAAAATTCTCTAAATTGCTCATGGAGCAAAACAAATGTTTATACTATGTGGTTACCTATTATCTCTAACAATATAAAGACAGCAGTATGAGAAGGTAAGTGGAGCAGGGAGCCTGAGTCCAAGCATACATTAGGCTCAGGAACCAGTCTTTTAAGAGCAAGGAGAGGAAGGGCTGAAACAAGTAGGAAACTTGGTTCTTGACAGTTAAGGAAGCTGCAGCAAGGCTCAATGGAAAAACAAGGGATCCTCAGCTGAACCCTCCCGAACCTAGCAGATGAGTCCTCAGAACATCAAGGGGAAGATGTGAGCTTCACCTGAGGTGAAAAATGGGCCCCACCCAGCTAGTGGACTTGCCTATGGCTAACAGGATGGAGAAAGGGAGGCAGACTAGGCTACGAACTGGCAGAGACAGCTGAGCCATTAAGCTTGGAGGGCATGCTGACTGAAGATACCCACTCCTAGGATGGGAGGGTGCCACTGAGGACCCATGGGGACCACAGGAAGTAAAGGTGGAGAAGCACAGTGTAAGAGGAGCAGGACAAGGATTCTAAAAAGACTAAACACATCTCCCTCTGTGTAAAAGGCATCCGGCTAAATCTGAGTGCTCTCGTCTAATATGGCTCAATCAAGAGCCAGTTCCACACCGGGTCTCCTCTTTCTTTATCCTCAGCTTTTAGCACAGTCTGCCACCTACTAGGCCCACAATTAATTAACTGCGTAAGTGCCACTGGACCAATGAGTACAAGTCCAAAGAGGCAGATTTCAGAACAATATATGAAAGTATCTACTGACCTCTCTTGCTTGAGACAGTGAGCTCCCACCAAAAGAGATATGAAGCATGGGCTGGGTGTCTACCAAGCCTTATACTCGATAGTATCATACTCGACAAAATTTAGAAAAGATGGCAGCAGAGCCTGCCTCAGTCTGTAAGTCTATCAGTTCAGTTTATTAAACACTTACCAGGCACCAGGCCTACTACCTGGTATCTACTGTTAAGCTCAATCCACTGGTTCTCTTTAAAAAAGGAGGTTTAGGGGTGCAGAATTGGTGGAGGAGAGAGGAAGGGAGCAGGGCCTAGATCTGTAATTGAATAAAAATACCTTCCCCTTTACTCCAAGACCCAAGGAGTGATGTATCTGCTTGTAGATCTGTGCAACTGAAAAGAAGTGGAATGGTTTGCTCTCCTGCTAAGTCCACTGACAAGCAGAGGAACAGTTCTGAGAGTCGACGGAGTTACTGGTCCCTATTACTGCTCTGACTGCATCTACTATTCTCCCTTTCTTATAACCTGCCTCAGCCACACTAGACTCTTTGCTTTATACTTGCTGTTCCATCTGCCTGGCATACTCTTTTCCCAGGTATTTGCATGGCCAACTTCCTCATATCCTTCAAGTTTCTGCTCAAATGGCTACCTTTTCAGTGGGCCGTCCCTATCAAAAATTGCAACCCCCAATGCTAATGATCAACTTTACCCTACTTCTTTTGTCTATAGCACAAGTCTAGCTCTTAAGAACACTATCCCACACCATTTACTTATGGATTAAGTTTATAATTTATTTTCTGTCTTCCCCCACTAGAATGAAAACTCCATGAGACCACAGATTTCTATTTTGTTCATCATTTTACCTAAAGTGCTTAGAACGGTCATTGGGACATAGTTAAGAATTCAGTGAATATTTGTTGAATAAATGAGTGTATAATGTCTAAAGGACAGCACAGAATAAAGAGCTTGTTTATGCACATGAAATGCAATAAATGGCTCCCTTGTAGATAGACATGCAGGAACTATGATTAACTGAGGAAGGAGAGGGCACCTGGGTGGCTCAGTTGGTTAAGCGACTGCCTTCAGCTCAGGTCATGATCCCAGAGTCCTGGGATCGAGTCCCGCATCGGGCTCCCTGCTCAGCGGGAAGTCTGCTTCTTCCTCTGACCCTACCCCCTCTTGTGCTCTCTTTCTCTCTCTCAAATAAATAAAATAAAATCTTAAAAAAAAGCAAACAAAAAACCGAGGAAGGAGATGCCTGTCTTCCACTTCATGCTCATTCAGGGAAGTATGCTCTTTAAGAAGAATGGTGGAATTCCCTGTCCTGTTAATTATTCTTCTTTTGCGTATGCTCACTCACATGCACTTTCTTGATTTGGGCAGGCAATGATACACATATGCGCATACATGTACATGGACACACATACATACATCTTGCACGTTCTCTCACTTGCCCTCTTGCACACTATTGCTTCTATCTGATCACGTAGCTAACACTTGAAATTGTGTAAGTTAGATATGTGTATGATGCCACTCTACTGTCTGGTTCTAATGTCCTAATTGTATAAATGCATTTTTTGATTAAAAGACAGGTACAAGTTTATGTTCTTCACTATAAATTTCAAACACTTACTTTTATCTGTGCCACACTACTTTTCATTTTCTGTTGCCAGTTGATCTGATAAATTAAAGACTCCTTAAGTTGGTCCAAATAACAGGTACCAAATCGTATGAATTCCTTGACAGTTTGCTTTTTCTGTATGCAAATGTCACCTGAAAGATATATCAAAGAAAGCTCTGTTAACACTGATAAAATGTATGTGCAATAACAACACATTATTTACACACAATGAACATTTGACCGTCTTATTTTTCTTAATCAGTAGGCACAGATATATAATCAATAATTAAATAAAAATTCAAAAATCCCTTAAACAGTTCCACATAACAATGTATAAAAAGAACACATTCATAGAAAAGACTCTGAATAAGAGAGCAAATAATAAGGGCTTATTAAGCACCATAAGGTATTTTAGTCTAATGACTGAGAGGAACAAAAATTAATTTAATAACTGATGTCAGATAACTTTATTCAAATTGTTTTCAGTGAGGGACACCTAAACATACATCATAAAACAGTACTGTGATATTATAAAAAGCGAGTGAACAGAAGAAATAATTATATAAAATAAAGTCTATATAAACTGAATGTAAAATATCCCATGTTTCTATATAAACTAAGAATGAATTATCCAATGTTCTTATAATAATGATCACTCAGAAATAAATATGCTCTGCGTAAAAAATAAGGTGTTAAATTAAAATAATTAAATTTTAACATAATCTGTCAAAGGCACATGACTTCAGATATATGCAAATAATCTTGACACTATAAAGTGACATAGAGCTACTATCATTTAATGCAGATAGGGAAGTACCCAAATCACTAGGTCAAGAAAAGTTTCTATTACAGTGGTTAACATGGCATCAAAGTTCTTAAAAGCGCATTATATGAATATATGAGATTATTTATAAACTTAATCTATAAAAGATAATTGCAATGTAAAGCACATTACCACTTCTGTATTTGTAGCTGCAGTTAGACTAACATGACTCTAGGGGACTCCCAGCAGGGAGAGAGCCAGAGGAGAGGAGCCCCCTGTGCCCAAATCTCTGACCACCTCTGAATCAACACATGTACAAAACAGAGTACTGCTAAGGATCAAAGAAGTGAACTGTGATATGAACAGCCACCTAAGAGAACTTACAATTTAAGTCTAATCAAGTTAATTGCCTAAAAAGTCACCACTCCTCAGAGGAATGTAACAGAATCTACAGTCTTAAGAACATAACAGTAACAATGTCCAGGATACAATTAAAAATAACTTATCAGAAAACTGTGGTCCAAGCTTAAGAAAAAAGACAATCAAAGGAGACCAACACTGAGATGACCCAGATGTTGGAATTGGCAATATAAGGTTTTTAAAGCTTATTCAAATGTGCAAAGGAAAACATGCTTGCAAGGAATAAAAACAGGAAAGTTCAGCAAAAACAAAACAAAAGGAAACAAAAAGAAAAAGAAAACAGAACCAAACTGAATTTCTAGAACTGAAGAATATATGAAGTGAAAAATTCACTGGTTAGACTTAAAGCAAAATGGAGATTAAAGAAACTCAATGAATGTGAAGTAAGATCAAAAGAAATTAACCAATCTAAAAACAGACAAAAAAAATTAATGAACAATTATCAGGGACATGTGGGACAATATCAAAGGACCTAATATCTGTGTAATCAAAGTCCAAGAAGGGAAGACAGAAAAAATGCAATAAAAAAAATTTCAAGAAATAGCCAAATTTCTCCAATATTTGGCAAAAAGCATAAATTTACAGATTCATGAAGCTCAAGGAATCCTAGGTAGGACAAATACAAAGAAAACCACGTCTATGCACATAGTCATAGATAACGGTCAACAGTCAAATTGCTGAAAATCAAAGATAAAGGGAAAATCCTGAGAGCAGCAAAAGGGGAAAAACAATACATTGTACATACAGGGAAATAACCGTTCAAATTACTGCTGACTTCTCATCAGAAACTAAGGAGACCAGAAGACAATCTTAAAAGTGCTGAAAGATAAAAAACTGCTAACCCAGAATTCCAGCAAAAATAAATCTTAAGAATGAAAATAAAGACATTTACTAATTAAAACAAACCAAAGAAAATGAAGAGTAAGAGAATGTATCACTAGCAGACCTGTACTACAAAAATGCTAGAGTTCTCAGGCTGTAGGGAAGTGATACCAGATGGAGACTTGAAAAAGGAATGAAGAACACTGGAAACGGGTAACTTTCTCAGGAAGTATAAAAGGCTACTTTTTCCTTCACTTAAAATACATTGGTCTACTTAAAGCAAAAATTAACATCTTGAGGGGTTATAGTGTATGTAGATGGGGTATATGTGATATGTAGCATATAGGAGGAGGAGGTAAAACAGACCTACATGTTCTAGGGTTTCTATTTTTTGTGAAGTGGTAGTAATATCAACTCTAAGAAACTTGTGGAAAGTTAAGGATATATATTGTGTTCCCTAGAGCAATGACTAAAAAAGTAATGTAAAAAATATAGCTAAAAAGTCTGTAAATAAATTAAAATGGAATTTAAAAAGATATTTAAATAATTTAGAAGGACAGGATAGAAAGAACGAAGGAACAAAAAACAGGAGGGACAAATAAAAAAAAAGATGGCAGACTTAATCTAACTGCTAATTATATCAAATATTAATGGACAAACATGTCTAACAAAGAGAAGCTAAGTTCTCCCTCCCCTCAGATGGATGCAACCCTGAAGGCACAGATCTTGTCTTGGATGGGTTTTAGGCCCCACATGTCTTCTCAACAAGCTGACTTTGTGCCATAATCTACAAATCACATGACTCTTCTTTTTTTACATGACTATTTTCAAAGGTCCTGTTTTTATGGCTATAAATGTATAGAGCCATAAAATTCAAAATTTTACTCAATTAACTTTTGCCTAAAGGTAATGGTTATTTTTTTTACCCCTACCAGCACAACCTGCATATCATTTCTAACAAATCCTTATCACCTTTATCACACAGTATTATTTACATATACACTCATTCAACAACAAATAATATTTACTATACTTCTATTATTTTGCCAGGCATCTTTCTAGGTAGTGGGTAGACAGCAGTGAACAATCATAACAAAATCCCCTGCCCACATGGAGCTTATATCCTAGTTACAAAAAGTAAATTTATATTGATAAGCAAAGCACTAAGCTGCTCAAGCAAAGTGGCTTGTTGGGCTTTTTTTTTTTACATGCAAGTTTCAAATCATTATTTGATGTAAAGCTGGTTTCCTAAGTCATTATGTTATATTAAATTATGAATATTGTATAATAGAAGTACTAGTACCTATATGGGGGCCCACCTGACTTACTACATCAGGTGTGTGTGTGTGTGGCAGGGGGCAATGGGGAGGCCTAGGCATGCTGGTTCTATGAAAGCATCCCCAAGGTATTTCCCCAGGTTTCCTCAGCTTTCTGATTTTGGATGAGAAATCTTGGTTCTCAGTTTGTTGTAAACCATGAACTACTTAGATAAAATACGGAGACTTCATAGCCTACCTCCTTTATAGTGAAGTAAGTAGTCATAAGTCATTTGGAAAGGGACACATACATTCCAAATTGTATTCCAAATGTATTAATCCATACTAACTCACTGGTAAGAAGCGTATATATGCATGCAAAAGAATATCAATATCAGTGATTCTTAAATCTGAGAAATTCTGGGCACAATTCATAGGGAGAAAATCCTCACTGCTTATGTAATGACTGCCACAGCACAGGCTCATTGGGAGGTTAACATAAATGCCGAGGGCGCCTGGGTGGCTCAGTTGGTTAAGTGACTGCCTTCAGCTCAGGTCATGATCCCAGGGTCCTGGGATCGAGTCCCGCATCGGGCTCCCTGCTCTGCGGGGAGCCTGCTTCTCCCTCTCCCACTCCCCCTGCTTGTGTTCCCTCTCTCGCTGTGTCTCTCTCTGTCAAATAAATAAATAAAATCTTTTAAAAAAAACAAAACAAAACAAAAAAACAAACATAAATGCTGTAATAATTAACATTACCTACTGCAACGTGGGCACAAGCACAATTTTAAGCAGTGAAATGGAGTCATCCAGATGACAAAATATGTTTATAAAATGCTTTTATTATTCTTAAAATGAATGTAAGACATGAAAAATTGAGAAAAACCTACATCAACTGCCTCCCTAGGTAAACTAGATACAAATTTCATATATATTCATATACAAGGACTGAAATAACTTTTGTAAAAAAATTTTTGCCTATAGGTTTAAATATGCTAATTAATGAGATCTGGAATATACTTTAGGGAAAAATTAAAAGCCTAGAGAGTTGTCAGTGTCCTTAATTTGTTCTTACATCCAGGATAATCAGTGACTAAGTCCTTATAAAATTGATACTATATTATACCTCCATGGAGGATTCCACTCCCTTCTATTCTAATATTATCATATAAATTAATCAGAGTCACTGTCCACAGGAGTTTCTGCTTCCCTACTTTCAACTAAACACTCCTTCTATAAACAATTAAAGAATTGAATTGTACAGAAGGAACATCAAAAGAAATCTGTGTGAAAGACTCTACTCAGTACTGTTCATTAATTTACAGGAAATAACCTGATGGATACTGCTGCCATGATCACCACCACACATCACCTGTGACTGATTTCCAGGACTTTTTGGGTCCAGAAGCAGAAATCATTGAAAACTGCTTCTGTTCAAGGCTATCAGAATAAGGCTCTCCTTCCCCTGATGCTAGAAATGCTACTTCTTTGCATATTTTTGTTTTTTATCCTCTTAGTTATTTATTTTTTCCCTCTCCTGGTTGATGCTTCTAAATCTGTATAATGGAACTTTCTGCATTGATGGAAAGGTTCATATTCTGCACCGTCAGTAGCTACTTCATTAACACAACAGCTACTGGCCACATGTGGCTATTGAGCACTTAAAATGCGCCTAGTGGATTTGAGAAAATCAAAGTTTACACATATTGGACAGCATACTTCTAAATGATTACTAGACATTTAGGCCTTTTAATCATGGTACTTCAAGATCCTTGTCCTTGACAATCTCTAGATATGGTGTTAATTCTTCAGATACTGACAAAGCAAAATAACTCATACCCAATTTACAGGAAAAGTCACTTGGTTATTTTCTAAGAAAGGTTCAGATTATGGG